GAAGTCAGCTGATACCCAAAGTGTTGATACTACATCACAGCCACAGGCGCCAGATGTGGGCACACAGTGTTTCATAGAGACTCTAGCTTCAATATTTCACAGTAGTTCCTCTACCGCGCATGTCAATCCATCCACAACCATTTGCTACTTTCTCAATCTGCTACCACTACGACCACTCTCCCAGCATCAGAATTAGGATATAAAATGTATTATTAAATTAATCTGAGAAATTCAATACGCATGGTCAGACTGTTTCAACAGCAACCATGGGCGACTGCAGCAGCCAGAGTGGAAGTGCATTAAGAAGCAGCTCCACTGATGGGTGTAAGACGCCGCAGCAGCCTTAATGCAGTTTTTACCTGAGAGCAGCGAGGTAACCCATTCACCTTCGCTAAAGTTAAAGGCGGTCCTGATTCAATAAATGCACATGTCAGTTGACAGAGCATTTCATTATCCGTGTTCCTGAAGTGAAGGTCACCTGAATCAGACGATTTTATCGGAAAATGCTATAGTTCAACCTGCTGGAGCAGAGTCAACCTTCACTAGAAGCTGCATGCTCAGCGTAAAACGCAATAGCTTTAGACTGCAGCGTAGTCATGTTGAAGAGATGACTGGCCAGGATGCGTCAAGGTTTGTGAGGATGACTGCGGGTCCCCTCTGCCGTACTCAGATCTTACCGCTATAATAAGTCTTGGTGCAGTGACCTCTTGACATTTTGATGCCTCTTGTTGCTCATAATGTTGGTGATTGCCAGTAACTGAAGAGTATTCTAGTGTAATGTAGAATACATTTCCCAGTGGCATTAAGCTAATAATGATAATCCATAAAACATGTATGAATAATGAAATAGTCAAACAAATGACAGGTGAAGGTGAATGAATTGAAAATAATTGCCTGACCGCTACAATTACTTTACAAAAGTAGATTACATAGAAATCAAATGGTGTTTGAGGAAGTCATTGCAGCAGAAGAGAAAGATATTCACAGAGCAGAAAAATATATTTTCAGCAGCATCACAAGCTGTACTTATCAAAAGAATACAAATTAGGCATACAATTGAGTTTCTACTTTTTCAGATCGAGTTAAATACATTTAATGCATTCTAATGTAACAGCCCTGCAATAAATCCTGCCGCGTGAAACGCATCATGGTTCCTTTTGGTCACAGAACTTATGGAGTGGCCTGCTGGGGCGGCAGAATCTCGACAGCTGACAGGAACAGGTGCAATAAAAAAATACTCTGTATATATAATATTTTTATTTTATTTTTAGTTATATTTAGTTAGTGTGGATTTTTGTACTTTTTTAGTTGATATTCTTTACTGTTTATTATTTATTTATTTATAATACTTGCTCTTGTTTTTTACCTTCTACCTTGTTTGCTCTGTCCACTTTGCTGCTGTGATCCTGTAAATTTCCCCACTGCGGGACTAATAAATGATTATCTTATCTTAACTCTGTTCATTTTAGAGGCTATAGGCCTATTAGTGGTGCTGTTGAATGGTTTACATTATGGCAAAAGGTGTTTCTAGTATCTCGTCTCCAGCCCCGCGACCTCGAAACGGATAAGTGTCAACAGATGATGGATGGATGGACGGACTTTAAACGAACACATCGGTTGCTTTTGAACGTGTTGGACGAATAACAACTCCAAGCTCAGAACACCGTAACGCAACTCTTTCTCGTGTGTTCTTCTTTTGCCCGATTGCCTATCATTTTCTATCCAATTAGCAACATTTCATCTGCCTGCTGCCGATTACGTGAAGAGAGCTGGCAGAGGGAAGAGATGCCTGCGCCGCCGTCTCGCCAAACCACCGGACAACAGCTACAGGGGCGATGGTGTGATTCGGTGAAGATTATGCGACGTTCTCGTGCTCTGGTCCAGAGCAGCGTAGCTATACTACAATAACACAAGCGACCTTCAGTGACATTCTGAGAAAAATACAGAGGTTGTAAATTCACATCTTTTACATTCTCTCCATAGTTACATGTGCCACCCTATTACAGTAACTAATCTAAACGGTGCACTGGCCATTACGAGCATCACATTTGTGACCTTTTAATGACATTGATGGCTCACTCATTTTGGTACAATAGGCTGACCTGAACCAGCCCGCTCTGATGGCTCACATCCTCAATTCTCCACATATAACCTCCTATAGCAAAAAAGAAAGCACTTTACCTTTCAATCCAATTACCAGCCGCATATACTATGGCAGAAAGATAATTGACGGACACGTTTCAACATGATTCACAGTCAAAAGGCTTATCTGCATATGGGGAGATTACTCTGGCATTTTGGTCCATGTGGTTTTTACTGCAGGCGACAGCAGGCACAGAGAGTTGTAAGTGCTCGTGGAGAGCTCATGGAGAGTTTTAGATGTCTGAGTATTAATCAACCTGAACATGTGTCAAGTTGAAGTTAATCCATCATGATGATGGATCCATAAAAATAAAAATCGCACGCCCACATCACACTATTCAGACTCGTATTGTTTTATTCTCAACCTGGACAACGTTAGCAAATTGTGAAAGTACTCTAAGGCCAGCGGAAAGCAAGCATGTATTACCATCTCCCACCCTGGGCCAATCAGAAATGAGATGCGGTGTCTCCCGAGTCCAATCAACATTGGACTGACTGGTGGTGTAAAAGCCACTGTGTGTAAGAGGCGTCATAATTTTGACCTTCATTATAACATGACAGCAACTCTAACATGGCACTTATGTGTAAGGACAAGCGGGATCAACACCGTTAACCGACAGCCACCACCATGGGTTTGTCTCCCTTCTCGATAGTCAGAGGATGCTAATTACAAAACAATCGGAAGTAGCATGCAGAGACAGCTGCCCCATATTGTTTAAATATAAATATCATCAATGGTGTGATGTTTCATGTAAGGTTACCTGCAGTGTTGCACAGAGGGAGGGTGGAGGGTCTACCTCATCAGACCACTACATGCAAATGGTTTGTTACAATTAGAAAATACATAGGAATGCATGATTTGCAGATAAAGCTGCCTTACAGAAATACGAGAATCCCAAATTCACCTGACCAAATGTTTATTGAGTGACCTCTCTTCTATCACTGACTGGGTGACACCGATTGTTATCGGTGGGGGGAACTGAAACCGCTGATTCCATTAGCCCTCTCTCCAGGAGGTCACAGAAGAGAATTCAAATGCAAAACACATAAAACATGATGAAAGCAGCAGGGACGCGCGAATCAAATGCACGGACATTCTTCCAAGCCATATGCAAATCATAGACAAATCACAATTTAATTTATAGTCAAATTAGTTTTTTGTACTGCCGTGCAGTGGGGTCTAATGGAATCCAGAGAGTCAAAGGCAGACTGCAGTTTGTGTTTTTAATAAAAAAATGGAAGAGGGATGAGACTCCATTATCCATTTGGTTTTCCCTTCTATTTGAAGATGCTGGTGGTCACTAAGAGGTCTGGAACCAGGGTAAACAGACTGGACTTCTGGGACAGTTCAAAAGGCCAAATTAAAAAAACGGCCATAGAATGAGAAATGGACAGAGAGCTTTATCTGTACTAGGATGAAGTGCAAACAAATTAAACCATTTCAGGTTTGCTCTGCAGTACCGGTGGACCAGTAAAGGAAGTGGTGGAGGTTTGTGAATTAGATAACCGAGTGGAAATATTTTTAGCCCTCGCTCGCTTCCCGTCAGAGTGCTAAAGCTTGTCTGCCTCTCTCTCTGGGAATATGGAGGGACAACTCAGACAGGCTCGAGTCCTCTCGAGACAGAAAACAGAAATATCAGCTGGACGTTTCATGTCCAGAGACGAGGCACCGTGGCTGGACCACTGGTCCACTTTGTCGCTCAGTCATTTAGTCAACATGCGATAATTTCAGCCTCGACGTGACCGAGGAATGCTGCAGGTTTTTGGGCTGACAAGGATTCAGTTATCAGCCAGATGAGGGGGGGGGGGGGGGGTTGACAGACTGAAATAATAATGATGTGTCTGTTTCTGGATTCTCAGTGGACACGTCAGTTTCTATTATTGTAATGTCAGTTAACTCTATAGACTCAAGCACAATTAGTTCGAGCTTCTCAGCACATGTTGGTTATGCGCTTCTATGATTAATACCTCACTTCAAATTTCACCTTTCTTTAACCATAATGTATCAATGTACTTATAGACGAGAAACTCTATGCAAGGTCGGATAAAGAGTTTTAAGTTGAAGGCAAGGGTAATACATCTTCTACATAAAACGTTTGCTGCGGGCAAATATATTCATATTAAAACATTCTTCTGAAACCATTATTTTCACACAATTGTGTTCAAGTAAATTGTATTATTTTATGCATTAGAGCAACTGCTTCATCAGAATAAGCTAAATGAGCTTTATAGCTTTGACAAGATGGTATTCAAATATCTTAAAACATTTTCCATCATGCAAATGTTGACACTACATTTCACTAAAAAACTAAAATGAATCCTCTGGGGATCATGAATGCTTGTTTTTAAATTTTAATCCATCAAACAGTTTTTGATAGTCAATTCTTGACCAATGTGGTGCAATGACCAACCAACAACCCGACATGGTCATCCCCATGCTGTTAAATAGTGCAACATTGAAGATTAAATTGAATCAAGGACAGTTGTATTGAAGGTCAACAGAGTTCTTTCATTATTGTAATAAAATCACACTTGAATCCCTAAAATTGTGGAAAACATTAAAACTAGCAAGTGCACACTGAAGATGGACTTTACACCGGCACTCATTAAATACTTATTTTCCTTTTTACCCCCCCTCACCTCGTCCATCTCATCTCCACTGGACCATTGCCACTCATCCTGCAAACGAATCCAGCCTCCATACGAGGAGCGCTTATTGGCCTTCTGTCGGTCTGCGATGGTGACCAGAAGACGACGTGGACACTGGGGATGTTTCTCTCCATGCCGTCTTCAAAGGGTCTTCAAAGTAAAGTCAGGTCCCTTATCAGGGTGTTACTCAATACATTTGTTCACAAAGGTTTCTCAGTAGTATTCTTTATTCAAACAAGCAAAAGTGAAAAGCTGCTAAGGTTAACAGATGTGCTGTGCAAACAAGAGCCAAGGCTGTTTAAGTTAACGCTCACCATAAACAACGGCACAGGCAAGGGGAGCTCAGTCTGGTGCTGACAGAGGGCAGACACTAGAATGGTAACAGTGGTAACAGTGATGCTGGTGGAGGTTGTATAGCAGCCATGTGGTGGATTTTAGAACTATATGAGAATTGTTTCAGATTTGACTTTAAAATAACTAATTCTGAAAACATTTAAAAACTGTAACTCACATTCTCTTTATGACTGAAATGTGATAAAAACCCAGGTCATCTTTTTATCGCTTGCTTTAATCTTGATTTGGATCCACTGCCCTTTAGTGTTTTAACAAAAAGTTACTGTTTTTGCTTAGTCTCTCGAAACTACAAGAAATCACAAATCCATTGCCGTTTAAACGGTGGCTTTCACATTTATTATACAGTAATACCGCGTTTATTCCGGCATCACTTTTTGAAGACCTATACAAACGGATGATGGTAGACGAGCCCAACAGCCACACAGAGTAGTTTCTGTTCATAGGAATTAACTCAGGTAGCGAATCCATTTGCTGATCAGCTGTCCAGCCCCTGCCAGGGCACACCGGTTGCCATTGTGCAAGTGAACCTGCTCCATTCTTCCCCTCCCGCTGCAGCTGGTAGCTCGCTGTCATAGCTTTTAGGAGGTAATGGACACCATGTTGTTAGGACTCAAGATCTCAATCCAGTAACCATCAGGGTCCTGAATGAAGGCCAAGCCTTTCATTTTACCTGGAGGAGATAAGAGGGAGGGAGGAGGGGGGGGGGGGGGGGGTTGGTTAATGCTGTAAGAATAAATGTGTAAAATACTTTTGTTTTAAAGATTCCAAATGAGTGTGCTCTAACCTCGGCGCAGTAATGATAATACAGGTACTGTTGTTACGTAATGAGGCAGTAAAAGGAAAGCTACAGCCATTCCATACAGTGTTTTAGGACGATACATCATTTATATCTTTTGTTAATTACATGAAAGGTGCGAAAGTAGAAATACTTATTATCTGTTTAGAATTTGCATAAATCTGCAAACAGCAAATTTATTCCTTTATTAATCTTCAGGGTGACGTGAATGAAACACTGTGCAGAAATTAGACATAAGATAACATTACCTGTGAGAAAGCTAATTTTTGAGAAATAAAGAAAGCTTTAAGGTAAACAAATAAAAGACTAGTCTTAGTGATTGTACTGTCCATGACCCTCAGATCCATGAACACCTTCACATCTTACCATCTTCTGGCTTCTTGACGAATGTGACTCCTTGCTCTTCAAACAGTTTGCAGGCTGCATAGACGTCAGGAACTGCAATTCCAATGTGTCCTGTTAACGCCACATAGACAGAGACGGGTCACAATAAATCCACAATACAGCTGCACAACATTCGCTCTAGTGAGCCTTTAAATAGTAACGTTAACACGTAGAAAGCAAAATAAAAATGTATTATTAAAAAGGAATAAATGACGGATGAATTGGCATTGTATGAACTGTTAAAACACAGATCAAGACCGCTAAAACGTTACAGTTTAACCAAGAGTGTGTTTAGTCCCTTTACTGTGTGTTGCTAAATTTTAAGTGCATACAATCATATATTAGATGCCTTCATACAAGAAAACGCTCCCTTTTGGGACAACAAAGTCTTGAAATTGTAAATCTCACTTTTCATATCACTTTCAAATATAGTTCAATTGACCTTTTCTGTCTTACCAAAGCCACGTGGATCTGAGTTTCCACTGTGATAAGACTGGCTCTCATCAGCCTCAGAGCCCCAGTTACTGAAAGACAGGAGGAGGGGGGGGGAGATACAAGAAGGTAAGAGCGGAAATGAAGAGAAGAAGAAACGAGAAAAATGAAGCTCCTATTGAAGACCCTTACTGCGTCAACTCAATGGTGGCTCTTCTGGAGAAGGTCCAGGCCGTCTTCTCCTGCACAGCTGTGGGAATCTCCTTCTTGTCCTCATAGCCCAAGAAGAAGAGTGAAAAGCGCATGGCGGGGAAGTCAAACTTCTGCAGGAGCCTGGAAGACAAAACCACACATTAGCCACCAAGTCCAGTTTGCGTATGGGAGACGTGCTCAACAACCCGCGCACAAAAGCAGCTCCAAAAAATTCGCATTATCTCACTATTTAGGAATAATTTGTTGCAAGTGGAAATATAGATTAATTGAACTGAAGCCCACACCACACACACTCACGTCATGCCGAGGATTCTGGTGTAAAAATCCAAGGATTTGGCCGGATCTTTAACCCGCAGCATAGTCTGCTGCATCATGAAATCCTAAAGACACAGAAACAACAACAACAACAACAACAGAGCTTTATGACACTTTCAGTCAAGTGGTCGGCATCACAAGGAATCAAATCACAAAGATTACAAGGATGGTGGTTTATCATTCCTCTAAAATGCAGATGGAACAGTAATTCAAATGTTCAAGTCTGCAAATACTAAATAAAATAAAGTAGAACAAAAATAGCTGTACACAAACAAATTCAAAAGCTCCCATGTTAGCCCACATTTGAGGCTAGTCATGGTGTTTCCCGTTATGCTAATTCCCGGTGAGTAGAATGTGCATTTGAAAAGTGCTCGCCAGAAACACTTCAGGCCCTGCTTCCGCCACAGGATTAACACTTGAGATGTAAGGCACAGCAGGGATAGTTAGATGTGTTATATAAAGAAGTGTATTATATCATTGTGTTACAAAGCTATGTGAAGCCTTCCAGACTCACTTGCTTGCAGGGTATGAATCTCAGTTGACCGTGGCTGAATTCCAGCACAGGAAATTTTTTTTGCATCCTGGCACTCACTCACGAAAAAAGGGATTCCAGCCAAACCACTTCTCTGTGCAAGCAGGCGCATATAAATAAATGATCACCACATCTATGCGAGCTACGCCTCGGCTGACATCGCCACACCCAGCGGATCAGGCCTGCTTGGGTAAGTGAGGTCTGATGATGTCCTAAAAACCTGAGGGCCCATTTCACAGAAGCGATTTGCGAGCAAACGGCGACACCAAGGGTCGTTGCTCGTAGGTTGCAGGTAAATTGTGTGTGTTTTGATATGTTAAATGTGTCAGAACTGATGCGAGAAGAATCCCGTCTCGTAAATTGCAAAGTTGCAAAGCTCGTTTTCCCTCCGATGTCGCACGAGGGCGAGAACACAAGCGCCGCTCTGTGTCCGTGTCACAGTTGAGTGTTATCTCCGTGGGTTAGCAACCGTTCCCCTTTTCCTGTGCCCTCCCTCCAGCAGTGTCAAACTTTCACTATGTGCAAAAGTGTCAACAGAGTCATAGAAACTCCCCCAAAACACTGCTGCCCCTACTCATCCACGTCCACACGTTCCAAACAGTCGCAGTTCTTCTGCCACCTTGTTGCTAAAGTCATCACTTCTGGGATGGGATGACACAGAAGCTGTGCAATTAGTTACGCTGTTTAAAATCGGATTATGTGGTAAACTCAAAGCAAACAAACCGCAGAGGAGAGGATCATGATGCAACAGAGATTTCTACGGGCGTCCGTATTATATTATGACATCTCTTTTAATCCTCAAGTGTCAAACTCCATCAGATGTGGACTCTGATTCTGGGATCCTGCTCACACTTCACCTGGAGACACATTCTTGAAAGTCTTGAGCGTGGACTTTGATGATTGATGTGAAGAACCACCAGAGCAAATATTTGAAGAAGCTGCTCCAAACGACTCCAAGTTAACACGTGCATGCGGAAGAGATGGGAATCTCCAGTGTCCAGCCAATTTGAGAGATATTGTGATTATTGACCCTGACAGAGTATTGATTGATTATATTATTAGTATTGTGTATACACAGTTGTATACACGGTCTGAGAAAGAATACAGGCAACACAGTTGGAGGGACGTTAAATGACGGGCAGTGAGGACGATAACACTTAAACCTGTGCATGTGGATTCATTAGCCTGGTTAGCTTCAGCCCGCTAGTTGCTTGCAACACAGCCCACATTAGCCGTTCACAGTCCCACCTGCTTTGCGCCAGAGCATGCGAGTACAAGTTATTCAGGCCAACTTACGGGCAGTTGTTTGTGTTACAGACTTGTTACGCATGCTTTGATAAAATCACGTCTCAGCTTTTCTAACAAGTTTGGAGAGAGTTTCTGTCCACACGAAAAAAAAGTTGGAATGTAAGTTAGCTAGCTTACCACAGCCCGGTATATAAGATAAACACCAAATATGAGTTACCTGAAATGGGTACGTGGCTACAACACTCGCTGTGAGCATGGACAAACTTGTTTTATAGAAGCGAATCACTTGTCACCGGGTAACTAACGCACATTTGTGAAGAAACCTCGATGTCCGATAATGGACGCAGTGCGCAGATCTCGCTCAACCTGCCTGGGAGACGTTGGCCTGTTGGGTTTCCTGGTGTCTGGTAGAAGTTTAAAAAAGGACAACAGACTTACCTTAGTAATCGGGTCTCCATCTTTGCAAGCCGATGCCGCTGCCTCGTCTGACAGACCTTTGTCGCTCATTTTCGCTAACAGACTGTACGAAGCAGGACCGCAGCTCGGCACTGGGCGGACTGACAGGGAGCGGGACTCAGCTGCGGGGAACTTTAACAGGAACAGCTTCCGGCGCCAGATTTCAAAAATAAAAGACGCCTTTAAAAGCAGAATTAATTTGCATTGCATGACAGCGCTGGTGATCCATTGACCCTTCAGAATAACTTCCTCCTTTATAATTGTTAATGCAGTGCCCGTTAAAAATATGGCATTATGCTCGGGACTGAGGAGGATATGGAGTGATTGTGCGAGAGAGCTGGTACTGGCTTTTATTTCCACACTTTGCTAATTTACACGATCCTTATGTGCAAGATTTGGCAGATGAGGTGACTGGAGGTGTGCGACAGTCACCGCAGACTCCTCTGCTCCAGTGAAGTGTGATACTCGCATAGAGTAGCTGTTTACAGTTTGTCTGTGTACAGTATTCCTTATGTCACTACGGAATAAACAAATGATTGGTTAGATTAGGAAAAAACGTCCCGTAAACGATCCGTGGATAAATAAGAAAAGTGTCTTGAGTATTGCCAATGTATTTCTAACCCTCACCTCGTGTGAGCTCGTTGGCTCTGTAATCAGGTCCAGCATTCTCTTTTTAGCACTTGCATTCGAAGCGCTCAACACATGCCAACAATATTATTTTGAAAATGGAGACAGGAAGTGCCAGTTGTGATCTGGTGGCTAGACAAGGGCTCAGTGTTATGTAACAAAGGAAGCTAGGACTATTTCAGTCCATTACCACATTTACATTACCTTTCTTCATTTGACATGTGTAATGCTTGCATTTCTTTTTCTTTTGGCAACACAAATAATAAAAGGACCAACTGAGCCAGCTAGGGATCCCCTGGTTTAACATCTCCATCAATCTTTATTATGGATAAAAAAACAGAGCAGTTTTCCATGGTAATAATTTTATAACGGACAAGTTGTAGAGTTAATTAATAGGAGCGTATCGGCAGGTGACTACATTAATATTTACCATATTCAGATGCTCACAGCTTCATGTCAGTTGGTTTTAGGTGGATCTGAGGAATTAATATTAAGCTTGAGCCGCAAACTGTAACCAGTCATACAGAGAGCAGTGCTGATAAAGCTGTCAGAATATTACCACATCTGCAAGCCTGAGTTCCTGAGACAGTTTGGCTGCGAGAGACGAGACTGTGGGCAGACGTCGAGTACTTTTCCCCAGACGGCAATGTATGTTTGTTTGTTTTGAGAACTTTTCCAGATTTCAAAAAGCTGCAGACCCACTGAATTAGTACTTGTTGACAGAAACTTTTACCAACAAAAATTGAATCAAACCTTTTTTTGACAGTGCTGAGTAGGAACTTATAAAAAAATATCAATTCTGAAAGGATAGTAAAGATGTAATATTTCCTTAGTTTCTGGTTTTACTTGCGATGCTAAAACCAACCACTGCAGGACATTTAATGTTCTTTTAGGAAAACCTTTAAAAAGTAATGAGCCATGTGGGAGAGAAGCAGAGCCACACAACCATTTCCTCTCATAACGGAATTCAAAGAGTTAAACAGTTTCTTTCACCTCCACTTTCTTCTAGATAACTACGTTAACGTAAGTTTAAACAAAACAAACAAAACATCTTCCCATTCTAATTCCACAGTCCAGTCACCTCATGCACCTGTCACCCTATCCGCTCACAAGAGATCAGAGAAAAAGAAATAGATGAGAGAAGGTAGGAAAGCCCTTTTCGACTAAGATATTCATCCCCGTGCTCCGGCAGAGCAGGTGTTCAGTAGCTGCGTCCGAACAGGGTGTAGTACTGGGCAGGCTCCTTGCCGCAGACGCACATCTGACCGGGCTGCAGTGTCTTCAGGGGTGAGAAGGGGATGCAGAGGCTCTTGGCTCCCATGGAAGGAGCTCCAGGCTCCAGGTCCTGATCCCTACAGGGCCACCAAGCACAACAATGTCTTTTAATGGTTGAAATTCAAACACAAAGCAAAATGGGGTCAACATGGGCAGGAAAAAACTAATACTGTATATACCATTTGGTATTAAAAAAAAAATAATAATTATGTGAATGGGAGAAATTATATAGTACTTTACAAACAACCTGAATCTTGAATACATGCATTGGAAAATTACTTTTTACCCCCCTGGATGTGCTTATTGCATATGTGTACTTTATGGACTCATCATCTGTACAGATAATGATGTGGTCGACTTGGTTGTCTGGTTAAACAAAGCATTAACTCAATCGTTTGGGCCGGTGAGATGTTGGACGTACTTGGCAGTGGTTTTCTTGATCCAATCTTCGCACTCGATCCCTCCACAGAACGGGATCTGGACAATCTACCAAGCAAGGTGAATGTATTGTCAATCGTTCCCTCAGGTGAGAGGCAGAAAATGAAACCGTTGTGTGCCGCATGTGGTGGTTTGTGTTCCTCACCTTGCCCTGTTCCAACTCTTTCTGGAACTGCTCCATCGTGTCTGCGGGCACCATGTTACTCTTCAGGTCGTCTGAAGCTCTGACAAACACACAAACACACACACACACACGTGACACACTTTCATCAGTCTTCTTGTATGTTTATGAACGCCACTCATTCTGCTGTGTATTCTCGTTTCGCAGCTGGATCCGTCACAGTCTGTGTACATCAGTTCTGACACAATGCTGCCCCCAGCTGGTTGGGGGACACATGATCATTTTAAATTTTGCCCACTTGTCTTTTTTCTATCACATGAAAGGAAGACACATGGTGTTAAAATCCTTTCAGTGAGGCGTGAAAGGTTTCACTGCAGCTCTTTCTTCCATAACTACAAAACATGCCTTTCTGTGGTCGGTTGTACTTGAATGCTAATATGTCAAGTTTCCAGCAGAGTGTAGTGCTGCATCTTACTTGTTGAACAGGTTGTTCTGGATGTCCTCCAACATGGCGACCAGAATCTTCTCCACCTCGGCCTCTGGAATTGTCCCCTTTGCGCCCGAGTCTCTCCTCACTGCGACGCACTGACCCTGCTGCATATCTTTAGGACCCACTTCCAGACGGATAGGAACTCCCTGGACGAAACACACAGACATACAGAGGTAGAAACAACAAAGAGAGAGAAAGAAACAGACACAGTCACTATCAATGCCGTCACAACAATCCTGGCTGTGGTGACTCTTATCTTCTTTGTTTTCGATGTCTCATATTGCTGCCTTTAGATAAAGCACTTCAGTAACTACCACGGCTATCATCCTATTATTTCTGACCTTGAGTTCCCAGTGGTTGAACTTCCATCCCGGGGAGTAATTGTCTCGGAGGTCATTCTTCACCCTGACGCCAGCATGCTGCAGCCTGGTCGTGTACTTAGAGCACTGGGTCAACACTGCCTCCTTCTCCTGCTCCGGCAGGGAGGCAGTGATCCCACATGGGATGACGACAACCTGGAAATAAGAAGAGACTTTTTACCCAGTGCTGTATGAGAGAGGGATATAAAAAAAAGCAGGTGACTTGGGCTTAAATGGTATGTCATTACACATTTGTCAGTTAACCTGCTGTATTTCCACGTCTCTGTGTGTCTACCTGCACGCAGGCCACCCTGGGTGGCAGTACGAGTCCCATGTTGTCTCCGTGGACCATGGTGAGGACACCAATGGTCCTGGTTGTGATTCCCCAGGAGTTCTGGAAAACCAGCTGTTTCTCGCCCGGCTTCTTCGGATCCTCAAACATGATATCGAACATCTTGGCGAAGTTCTGACCGAGGTGGTGAGACGTAGCACCCTGAGGAGGCACAAGGCAATGCAAAAAGGCAAGATGATTTTATCTTTTGTTTTGCAGTGCAATGCCTACTTTGTTCTACAACATCAACTCTAACCAATCGCTGTCCGACTGCATGAGGATTAAGTGTCGTTAAGAAGAGAAAAATGATCACGAATCACTGTCTGTTTCTCTGCAGCTCATCAAAGGAATTAAACGTAATATTCTGCTGGCCTCTGTGTGAAAGGATCAAATGAAGTGAACCAGTATACCACAGTACCTGAATGGCTCGGCCGCTGGCAGAGATGAATGCCTCCACCGTGGTGGTGTAATCTCCTCCGGCAAACTTCTCCTTCTCCGTCTTCCTCCCCTTCACCACGGGGATCGCCATCAGCTCCTCGTACACCCTGGCGTACAGGTCCAGGATCTGAAGCACCTGCAGATATATAATGTGTGAAGCACACAAAGACTTAGTTTTGTACAATACAGCATAGTTAAAACAACAGCACAAATGCTGGGACTGTAAATGTGCTGCGCTGTTATACATCAGTTGTGTATTTCATCAGACATAATGGACAGAGGCGTGCTCGTGGTGGATGTAAGGCAGCGTTGCCGGGGCCGTTACCTCCTCAGCTGCCTCCTCTTTGGTGGCAAAGGCTGAATGTCCCTCCTGCCACAGGAACTCTCTCGTCCTCAGGAAGGGCTGGGGGTGTTTGAACTCCCATCTCTGGAGGGAGAAGCGGGGGAGAGAAAAATACGTCAGTCTTCTTTGTACCAATTTTCTTTAACAAGCTTGAAACTACGAAGTAAACGTGTATAAATGGTAGGTGTGGAGTAGCTGTAGCTGTGACTGTGGGAGGATACTGACCACGACGTTACACCACTGGTTGAGTTTGATTGGCAGGTCTCTGTGGGACTGGACCCATTTAGCGTAGGCAGGGTACATGGCTGAAGCAAAACAGACCACAGGTTCATATGGAACAGCAAAACCATAAATAAAAAAGCTATTTACATATTAAGTTCATTGCATGCGTCTATAGTCCACTAAGGAGCTGTGGTTCGGACCTGTCTCACTGGTGGGTCTGACAGCAATGGGCTCTGCCAGCTCGGTCTTTCCTGACCGGGTTACCCAGGCAACCTGACGAAGATGACGACATCACCATGAAAATTATTATATTTTATGATTATTAAAGTTGTGCAGTTATATTGTTCATTTTCTTATTGTTTCAGTAAAGTACACTTGTGTTATTTTTTATGCTTTTTCCCCCTCCATTACGGTATTTGACCAAAGGGAGGTCCTCTCACCTCTGGAGCAAAATCTTCTATGTGGGTTTTTTCCTTCTCCAGGGCAGCCTGCGAGACGAACATGGGGAAGTAGCAGTTTTCAACGCCCAATTTCTTAATCTCCCGGTTAAAGAACTCTTGGATGACCTCCCAAATGGAGAAGGACCAGGGCCGCAGCACATAGCAGCCGCTGACGTCGTAGTACTCAATCATCTCCGCTTTGGTGATGACCTGGAAGGGGAGGAGCAACATTACGTTCAAGAGGAAATTTCAAAAGACGTTTCAGATAAAGACCGGGATTTTAAAAGTGGTTTTATTGGGGTAACTCACCTGAGAGTACCAGTCAGACAGGTTCTCCTCTTTCTTGGCCTCCAAGCCCAACCTGCCAAAAGACAGACAGCGATGTTAGTGAGATGCAACCTTGAAATTAAGAGGTCCAAAACACTGCAATACAACACATATTAAAGTGTACTGTGTGCTACGGTGTTTCTAATTTTGTAAATCACACATTTTATTTGTTATTTATGTGTGTAGACGTCACATGTTTTAAGAAGCGAAGATAGTTTTTGTCTGTTTATTTGCGTATTCTCCAATCAAACTGTTTTAGTTCACTGAAAGAATAGCGTGTCAAATTAAAAGGCAGTGGCGATGAAGCGCTGCCCAAACACAGTTGCAGAGCATTATGGGAAATGAACACAACTATAATATGTCAGGCCAGGCCTCCTGGTTAGTGAGTCGAGCGCAGGTTCGGGCTGTACCGAACGTCCTTTTTTACTTCTACTGAGCTTTTTGAATGAAGCTTAGATCGTCATCCCCTCAGAAAAGGAAAATAATAGATTGTGTTATTGTGGTTGTGTGAATGTAACTTATGGTGTTGATAGATTGCTGCTTGACCGCCCCGTGAATACGGATGTGCCACCCTTTGAGTGCGGCAAGCAAACAGTTTTTGACCTCAGTAGTTTTTTAAAGGCTTAATGCCAACGAACATGGAGTGAGGCGGAATATTTCGTTTGATAAAAACATGTTGTGCATTTTGGAAATGATTCCATCCACCTATATACATTTTGACTTTACAACGATCATGCTAGTCTGAAACAATCCGTTGCAGCCTCCACTGGAATCCACTTCTACAGTAATAGTATTACACTAATACTATTACTGTCGACTAAGAATAAAGCTGCTGCACACCATTCAAATGTTGATTTACAATTCAAATTTGGGGGAAACGTTACGAATGAAGCGTCAAAGCTTCAAACTGTTCGATACAGCCCTAGTGCAGGTACAAGAGTACTCAAGTGCATTAACAAAACACACAGCCATTCCCAGACCAGACAACCATGCAACTCAAAGCTCACATCAGTAGCAATGAAGCCAGCAAACCGGCTTCCAACTGCTAACGGACAACACGGAGACAGAGCTGCACCATAAAGGCAAAACCCTCATCTCCATTATTGGGGCGATAGTGTGATCATGATTAAGAGTCTTTATCTGAGGAACAGAAGTTTTTATACTTTTGCATCTTAGATCAAAACCTTTAAGAGTGCTGGTGTGTTCTGTAGTTACTCCGGATAGAAAACCATGCAGGAGATAGATAGATAGATAGATAGATAGATAGATAGATTTATTAGTAGTGCAGTGTATCAAAGAGCGATCACATTTCATCCATAAGGCTTACAGCAGACTACAAGCACTGATCAAGCAGAGAGAAAACACACCAACCATTAAAAAATCACCAAATCTTGAATACAAAAAAACAAAACCTCTTCAGTCGTTAAGCAACTGTAGCATCCATCTTCAGTGTCCAGGTAAGACATCCAAGCATGTGCCTGTGTCACCGCTCCAGTATTTGTTTAAAGACTAAAAACATACAACTCACGGCATCGTAAGGTTTAAATGAAACCATCCGCTGAATGTTCACCATTTTGTGGAAACAATTCAACACCTCCGTACGAAACAAATGCATCTCGCTAGTGAAGCACCTCATTCAACAATCTATATTGTGTCCAAAGCAGAGAAGACAGCTCAGAACAAGACTTTTTATTGGCTCTGCATTTATGACTCCACTGATCTGTCAATCTTAGCCAAATCATTTTCAGAACAACCAACTGTAGCTGCCGTATAATCTCGCCATACATGTGTTCATCTAACTGCCTGTAACTCCATACACCTTTCTTCAGTCTGCAGAGCCTTGCTGCGCATGTGGGACGACTGTAGTTAGACAAGTGAAAGCAGGTTCAGGTTTAGAAAATCCTGTGGGAGGTTAAATCTGCACTTACAGAAAGAGGCTGAAAGGTTCCAAGTAGAAAAGTTGACTTCAGATGCAAAAAAGTGCAATAACATTTTGTTCCTCAGTGTTAAAGCCACACAGCTGATTGAAATGTTGTCAAAATCACAACATGAACTGCAGCAATTATAAAATCGTAGGAGGTGCAGTATTTGTAAAAGGAGAAATGTGTGACAATACCATTTTAAATGAAATATTGCCGTACTGCAGAGTAGTTCTGGCCTATTCTCCACACTTTATAATAGAAACTTTGTACAGATTTGAGCAAAAATCACAAAATCATTTTCATTTACTTTTCAATGAAAATGAGAGTGACGTAGAAATGATCACTCTAATAAAAAACAAACACAATTAAGATGTAATGTTTTTAAATCGTTCAGCACTACTAAGTCTCCTCATAATGACGTTCACAGTATTGATTGTAATATGTTTTAGGATTTGATCTGAAATGAGATACAATTCGCCATTATAGAGCTCATTTTATACAAAACATTGTGCCGGCTGGTAACAGTTCACACTACTGCCAGAGGAGGAAAGAGCTAGTTTATCATCACCTGGATCTACTTCTTAACCCCTCTTCTTCTATATCCGTTTCCAGTCTCTCACCGTGTTTGTTTCTTAGGTCCTTGACCCTCTCCTGAGCCTCCTGCTCCTCCTGAAGCCTCCTTGCCCTGGTTGGTTTTGTCTCCTTTACCCTTCTTCCCTCCTCCTGGTCCTCCTCCTCCCTGTTTCTCAGACTTGTTCTCCCTCTCCTTGCGGTTTTTGTCCTCTCCTCCAGTGGCTCCAGCAGCGGCCACTGGTTTGTAGTCCTGTCCAGTAAGCGTCTTGTACTTGCTCTTCAGGTCCAGGAGAGTCTTCACGGCTTCATCCACCTTGTCCTGAAATGGAAAGAGAGTTGTAGTTCTTTTCTTTTCCAGTACTACCTGTGTATTTAACGCCACTCTGCGACTTACTCCTTACCTTGGGGGCCTTCTCGGATTTCAACTTTCTCACTAGCTCTCCCTGTTGGGTCACCTGGGAGAAGAGTTCATCGCCCTGCGTGGGAGAGCTGGACTTGGTCGAGGAAGAGCTGGACTGGGTCTGGGCCTGGCTACCTGGGGCTTGCAATCCGGGTTTGTAATCCTGTCCGGTCTGCTGTTTATACTCTGCCTTCAGAGCCAACAGCTGCTTCACTGCAGCGTCTACCTGATCCTGATGAAGAGCCAGCACGGACAGAACCATTTAGGTCTAGCAGCAGTGACAGTTGCAGGACTCTATCTGACAATATAAAGACTCTGAAAGCAGGGCAAACACTGGTACCAGATGGATATGTAGTGGTTGTGATGCTGCAGTTATATTCTCACCTTGGATGCCTTTTCAACCTTCAGTTTCCTGACCACTTCTCCCTGCTCAGAGACCTTCTCATACAGGCCGGTGGCAGCAGGGGCAGAGCTAGGGCTGTTCTGGACTGGGGCGGGGGCTTTCTGGACCGGGGTGGGGGCTTTCTGGACTGGGGCCGCTCCAGGCTTGTAGTCCTGACCTGTGACCTGTTTGTATTCGGCCTTCAGGGCAAGCAGCTGTTTCACTGCTGCGTCAACCTGGTCCTGGGGACACATGGACAAGCATACTGTGACTCACTTCATATTTCTATTATCCTGTAATGGGTAAACACCGTTGTATCAACACATGAGCATAATCAGCAAAAGAACTGGGGAAAAATATTGGTATTGTGCTGATAAAAATCACTGGCCGGGTCAGCCCAAATCTAGCTTTGTTTTAGCGTCGATGTCATGTCTACGTATAGACTGATATTAGACATCTTTCAAGCGCAAAATTGCTTGTCTTCAGCTACGTTTGGACATCTAGTAAACTCCACTGACAGCCCAAAGTAAGCTGTGTTTTAGCATATAGGACAAACAGTAGTAAGACGTTTCCCCACTGTAGCCCAGTTGGTAGCTAAGAACAGCGGTTTGTTTCTCCGTTTCTTGGACAGAGGAAAATGTAGAGGCAGATTCGAAAATGCGTGAGAGAGAGAGAGAGAGAGAGAGAGAAGAGTATGCCAAGCAGCAAAGGCCCCACGGTTGGAATCGAAACGGGGACTTAGTGGTTAAGTGGAATTCGCTGTAACCATTCGGAGTCCCTTTCTCATATGTTCTACTAAGACTCGTCTTTTGCATAATCCTGTTAGACAATCATTGAATTAAGCATATCAAATAAGACCAGAACCAGCCCTCGAACTACATATACTCTATTGTATCGGGATCCGTGAAGCAGATTTCCATGACTTTTTCTAAACTTTCCGAGTTTAATCTTATTTGCAGAACTTCTCCATGCCTTGAAATTACTATTTTGGATCAGCCACTAGCTAGTGAGCCTGAAATGATTTCTACCTCTGTCCAGTCAAAAGTTATATTGACTGGCATTAATGGCGTCTTGGTCATCTTAGAAATGTGAAGTTGATTTGTTCATTTTTTTTGGTGAGGTATTCTTCATTAGCAACAATAGGTAGCTAATCGCAGCACACTGATTTGCAAAAATCATGCTTTGGGCTTTAACAAGCACTGGTTTTTATTTTTAAAGTATTTTCTGTCACTTCGTCATTCTCTACTGTCTGCATCAGAATACCTTGGGGGCTTTTTCAGACTTCAGTTTCCTCACATTCTCCCCCTGTTGTGAAACACGCTCATACAGGCCCGAAGAAGAGCAGGAAGAGGAGGAGGCAGGAGCGGAAGGGGCCATCCCAGGCTTGTAATCCTGACCAGTCAGCTTTTTAAACTCCGCCTTGAGAGCGAGGAGCTGCTTCACTGCTACGTCAACCTGGTCCTGGTGCCACCAACAAACCAGCTTATTGTTGCAGGTAGTTATGGATGAAATTGACTGGCATGCAAACGACGTGGGGACATGCGCAATGACAGGACAAATAATTTGGGACACGAGCAGCGAGCGACTAGACAAACGACTTTGGACGTGAGGATTCACAGGACAAAAAATGAGGACACGGGGGATGACTGGACGAATCGCTCAGCACAATGTTAATGGACGGACAGACGACTGATTGAAGGATGTGGACATGAAGAGTGAGTGGACAAGCAGATGTGGACATGTTCAGTTATTGAACATCTAGATACCTTGGGTGCCTTCTCTGCCTTCAGTTTCCTGACCAGCTCGCCCTGCTGGGTAACTTGGGTGAACGGACAAGAGGTGGAGTCTGTTGATGTGGTGGGCGGGGCTGGATCAGAGGTGGTAGGGGCCATGCCCGGCTTGTAGTCCAGACCGGTCTGCTGCTTAAACTGTGCCTGCAGAGAGAGAAAGTAAAAATGAGATAGCAAACATTTGAATAAATAAGGTGTTTTTATTGCTTTTCATCACAGCTGACGTACCTTTAGGGAGAGCAGCTGCTGAACTGCCTTGTCCACTTCGTCTTTAGGAGCCTTGGCAACCTTTAGTTGACGGACAGCTTCACCTTGTGCTACGATGCTCGAGAACAAGTCACTGGCTGAGGTTGCGGCAGGCGCTGGGGCAGGGGGTGAGGCAGCTTTGGCTGGGGTGGAGGCAGCTTTGGCTGGGGTGGGGGCAGGCTGAGACGACAGGAAAGGCAGATTCAAAAACACAAGAGGAGCAAGAACCTGACGGGTACCAGTTTATCCCAGACGTCAAAGAGACACTCTACTGGTAAATCTGGACTCAAAGCTCATCTATTCTTAATCTCGCTATCATTTGGCCAATCTTTGCATTACTGGTTGGATCAGTTAGCAATCACTAGCGCTCAGGTTCCTGCTTCTACTGCTGTTGGTGTCCCAAAACAGCTAACTCCTCTTAGAATTTCTGTCTGTAGCCAGCCCAGGGCTGAACACCCTTTTCCCCTTCTTAAGACTATACAGCGGTCTCCCTCCGTCATTTAACATCCACAATTAGCGGAAGTTAAGAAACAAGCGATCAGAGTGCACTTGGGTCTAAATAATCAACAAGCTGACTTGAGGTGAGGGCCAGAGTGCAGCTCTCTGCTGCCGTTATAGTATTCATTTAAGAGGTCTTATACACTGATGACAAGTCTGATTAACAGATATAATTGGGCATAATGCATACAGCAACATTTGGATGGGGTTTTCTTCAAGAGCACTCACTGCTTTGCTGGAGGCCTGGCTCTTGCTCTTGTCCTTGGATCCAGCGGTCGGCATCTCCTTGGTGTGTCCATCAGGAATGTAGAGCAGCACACAGGGACTCTCCTTACAGCTGTTGGGACTGAAGATGTTAACCACAGTTAGACACAGACAGAACCACCACCGACATAGTGAGATCCAAGTATTTGTTGATCTCCATGAAATTGGATCCTTCCCCTCACCTGACGGGCTCATACGGCTGGTCACAGATGTAGAAGCCCCGCCTCTGGAGCTGGATGACATCACCTTTCTTCAGGCTCTGCAGACACGGATCGCCGAGCATCTTCTCCTCCAGCTGAGAAAGCAACAACGAGACGATCAACCAAAACGAAACATTTGAAAATGAGAAATGAGACGCACGCCGTGAGATTAAGAACACGCGTCGCAGAGCAGACCTTGGAGTTTTTATTGATGTACTCCTTGAAGTCGTCATCTTTGGTGATGACGGCCTTGGAGATGAGAGGCAGGTAGTTTATGCAGACGGTGGGCAGCAGGGGGGCACTGTTTGTGTCGGCCAGCCACGTGATCTTCGTCGTCTTCTTGAAGTCCTTGTTCTCCAGGGCCAGGCGAGCCTCCATGGACACGACCTTAGCGTCGGCCCCCCTGAGCAGGGATAAAAGGAAGTGTTTCGTTACTTCCACGCGACTCTCTACAACAATCCGGATGAGCTGAGCAATGATCCCACATACTTGTTGATCTTGGTGATGATGAGGTTGCCCCAGTTGATGAAGGTGACCATCTCTCCCTCTGAGAAGGTCTCAGCATCGGCTCCTTCAACCAGAACTCGAGGTCCGTACCAAACCTTCTTCATGCCCACCTCTGCGTTCTGGATGGACACAGAAATGAGATTACAATGGCCTCTAAAAGCTCCACGTGTCCAACACTACAGTACAGCGTTGTTTGTAACAGAATCACAGAACTGAATTGCTATTCAAAACATGTGTAGACACCAACAGGTCACTGAGCTTCTTCATGGGGTGTGAACATGCAGTACAGCCACCTCCTGTTGCTTTTCACTTCTACCACATTGCCCGTCTGTAGGCTGTAAATGCTCTGCACACCATCAGAGCAGTTAACATAAGTCCTCGAAGCAATGCTCAGGGCGAAAAACGTTTTTAATGGAGAGAAAAAAGTATGCAAATCTAAAAAAAACAACAAAAAAAAACAGGTGCTGAACAAAACAGAAGATGATTTTTCTTCATCTCCTGCATCAGAATTTCACCAGGCACAAACAAACATCACAAGTTGGAGGTCTGCTGATAACTGTGTTGCTCTAACCTTAGGGTGTTTGGCCACCTCCTTCATCTCCTCTGTAGCCTCTGAGACGGAGACAGGAACCACGTAGGAGCTGGACAGAGCCGTGTACCTGGGAGCTACCGGGTCAATAACCTAAAACAAGACACGCACACACACACACACACAAACACACGGGTCAGTAAAAGAAGCAGCAGACTGGTGCTTTGTAACAAACTCTACATACAAAATGCTGAGTAATGAAAGGACAAAGCAGAGAAGGATGCAACTTAATTCATTAACGGTTTGTTTAAAAAACAAATCAAAAATGGAGAGAAAAATTAGCCCAGCTCAGAAACTGACAAACGGAGAAAGCATGAAGAAAGATGAGTGGAGAAAGAAAAGCGGATTTCATGAGCGAATCAGCGAGTCGAGGGAAACAAGCCTTTTCTTCAGCTGCTTCTTCAGTCACCTTTCACTTTCACTATTTTAACAGCCAGCTCGAGTGTTTAAGAGCCCAAATGATCCAAGCAGAAACAGACCAACACCACCAACAAACTATATATTACACCAGGTGATCACAAAGAAGCGTCGTTGGATACTTCAATGGAAACTACTTCACAGTACAAGTACAATAGAAGTAGACATTCACAAACAATAACAGTCTTTTGCTTCAACAATGATGGCATGGAACCAGATGATAAGCTCGGTTTCCTCAGAATATAGAACCAGACACTCTTCAAACTATTAATTATACATTTGCATGATCATTCAAAATAATCATAATTTCAAAAATATATATATTTATGGTGACTTAGGAAATAAAAGTGTGAGGCACTTTTGAAAGCTCACATAAAGGAATGATCGTGTTAAATGAAGTGGATATACTTAATAAATGAAGAGGAAACGTCTTAGGTGCTCGCTCAAAAAGCTGCAATGGATTAAAGGATGAAGGGAATAGATGGAGAGGAACACATTAAGGGAGGAGGATGTGATACTGTCTCTGGTGAAGGACTGTCTGGCTTTAGAAATATATTTTGAAGTTTATGTAACCTAATCTGTACAAAGTCTGTTTTGTACAGATTCAAACCTGCATTTTGAAAATCCCTCTGTTAATTCTAGCCATCTCACTCCGAGTTTTAAATCATTCTAGATCACAGAAGGGCTGCAGACTAGAGCATCCTGACAATGGAGTCTCACTGCAGTACTTATAATAATTCTCATAACTGGTTTGGTGTTGAATATGAGCAAATGGCATCTCCTGTACTGAAGAGCTTCCACAACATCCTGGCGTTATTTCTTATTCTTTCTCCATTAGTTCTGATAAAAGCTAGGATCTATTTTAATATGAACAGAGAAAACTAAACCCCCCCACAAATATCCCCTCAACACTTCCATTTCGACCCCAACAGCCACATTGACTTTCTTCAAAGCCAAAACAAGCACACAGCTCATTTCAGATCAACCAGCCCATGACGAAAGCGCGGAGGGAGTGGGTGAAAATGAGCAGGAAGAGGTGGAGCGGGAGGTGGGGGAGTACCTTCAGACAGCTAATTGGCAGCTTGGAAACAGAAGAGTGAGATGCTATTTAATGTTAGATACAGGGAGGAAGAGAGAGAGGAGAGAGGTAGAGACACATTTACATAGAATGGAACGTTTACATTATTTCCCCTCACTGCAACCGTTACACCTTCCTGTTATCGTTTGTTGTTAGTGTTTCCACCTCCAGCCACCTACGACTCCTGCCCTGAGGGAACATCATGCTAACCTCCATCTATGACGCTAGTATCTTATGCGTCTATCTCGGAACCCATCGGCTATCGGTCTGATGACGATTTAGCCTCTTGAAACAACCGCAAATATTTCTGGGGTTGCGGTGTAGCCAGCAGCCAAGACTTGCTCTTCCGTCCTTGTTTACAGCCCGATTAGCAACTTGAGACGAGAGAATGGAGTTTGAGTTAAGAGTTGACGGCTAATCTCTAAAAGCATATCTGCTAATTAATGCAGATAAATGAAATCAAAACACTTATAAAAAGCTAAATCATGGTCAGATGATTGCCGAAGGGTTCTGGGATTGCATTTCGGCCATTGTGTTCCGCATGGACTGTTTATCTGCAGCCCGCTCACACGTGATAGGTCGATACTACTCAATCTACAAACAGAAACCGGCAAAGCTTCCGATGCCAAAAACCCTGTTACCTTCAGATTCGGCCTTCACAGGTATGTCTTTATGAAGATTAGTTATGCAGCAACACTATACTCAGGGCTAAGTAATCCCAACCCAAAATAAAATGGATAAATAAAAGATAAATTAGACAAATAAATGATTCAAATGTGCTTAATATTTGACCATCAAAAGCGACTGTGAAGAATGCCTGTAACCACATTTAAACATGAGTTGAGGCTGTTACAGCAAATTGAAATATTGGCAAGAAATTTTGAGGTCCTGAAACTGTCTGAAGAGGGCAAGGAGGAGTGGGTTAGTGGAACATGCATATGAAGCCAAAGTTTGTTCCTAAATCCTGACGCCAACTGTCATCACTACTTTGGTAGCTCTTCTTGGTCCCTGATGAATCCTGAGATTCCGTTTTCAACTCCACCATTCAGACGTGATGCCGTCTCTGTTTATGTGCATTTTTAAAGTATAAGCTTCACACCTTTTACTTGACTCTGGGATGAAGCAGCGACTGCCAGCAAGGAAAAAACCACAAAGAGGAAGCAACACTGGTGTCCAGACAGATGCAAATGGGGACAACAAAACAGGACTGCAATCAAACGTGGGACATGAAATGAGGCGACTGGTTTGGTTTTTTGAAGTTTTCGGTGATATGGAGGGTGAGGTAATGAGGCAGGAAACCAGGTAGCAAATGAAAGCGTTCAACAGAATGAGAACGGCGAAGCAGAAAGAAGCCATGCCAGCAGCGAACCCACGGCCCGTTCTCTGAACCTCTGCCAATTACAGCGTCACCTTCATTACTAACATACGAGCCAGGTCAAACTAACGTAAAATTAACCCTTAATCTTCAAAAGTAGCACAAATGTCAGTGATTGAAAAATGTCTGCAGTTGTATCTTACGAGATACAGTTCAACGATGGCCCCTTTAAACATTTTCATTGTGACCATTTAAGTATACAGCTAGGTTCACTCTGACAGGCCTAGATGTGAGAAGACAAAAGTAGAAAAATGTACCTTCTTATTGAAGGCCCAGATCTTGTCCCACTCCATGTTCACCACTGACCGAGATCCACCCTGGAAGGAGGCGGGATAAAAGAAAAACACGATTTTAAACTGATGCAAAAGCCTTTTAAACTCCATGGAACAGTGAAGCTATAAATAATTAGATTTGAGATATTTGCCAACTCTCTTAAGTCCTTGATTTTGACACTTAAAAGAGGAAACAAAAAAGGTAATTGTGTAGATGTAAATGTGTCCTATGCAATGTTTAAAAGTATGCTTAACCATCTAAGCCCATGGGAAAATTAAAATGTTTTCATGTGTATTTGTTTTTGGCAGAGAGGTGAGAATGTCATCTCTTGTTTATTATTTATCTGCAATTATCGACTCCCATCTGTATTTTAGAGAGGAATCCGGGCTTTTGCGCTGCCCGTCTCCAACTATGACAGATGTACCTGGGCTGCTATGAACTGTTTCAGACCCTCAACGGTCATTCCTCTCCTCAGGACTCCTCTGACAGTGGGGAAGCGAGGGTCATCCCTGGAGGACGAGATGAGAAGATAAATAAAAAAACATGGGGATAGAGTAAGGGTAAAGAGAAGAAGGGAGGAATAAAGGGGGACAGGGGGTGGTAGAGGAGGTTGTGAAAAGGCCACCAAGAGGGAACAGAAGAAATAGACGCCTTAAACATTCCGGATAGACACACGACTAAGCATCAGTCAACAGATAAATTAAACTAGACCTACCATCCATCGACGTATCCCTGGTCGACAAACCAGGTGAGCTTCCTCTTGGACAGCACCGTGTTGTTGAGGTTGAGTCGGGCGTACTCCCAGACGTGGGGCTTCCTGAGGCCCAGTGAGTCGATTATCCAGTAGAACTGCTCGTCACGATCGTGGTACTCAGTGGTCCTGAGGGCATGGGTCACGCCCTCCAAGCTGTCCGCGATGGGACAGGCAAAGTCATATGTTGGGTAGACGCTGGAAAAAATGAGGGGGGACAGTTTGAACAATGAATACTTGTCGGGTATTTCAATATGTCCAATATGTGAGGTAAATACTCCAGATGTTTAAGTGCAAATCATTTAGTTTTTTTTATTTCAAATCAATAAGACTAATAACGTAGTTTGCCCCTCCCAGGAATTATTGAATTCAAGTACTTGTAGGTCTTTCCGGTGCGAGGGTGGGGAGTGTTCTTGCAGCGGTAGAGGGTGGGGTCTCTCAAGCAGCCATTGTTGGAGTTCATGTCGATCTTGGCCCTCATGCAGCAGGTCTGACCGCTCTTTGTCCCAGCTTTCATCTCCGACCACATCTTCATGTTCTGCTCCACCGCTACACAGGGGAGAGAGAGAGAGAGAGAAAAAGAGAAGGTGTAGCTTCAGGGAGTTCAGAAATTCACACTGTAGCTTCAAACTTCACTGTGACTGGTGAACATGGCGTGTTTCCCCCCCAGGCGTACTGTTATTTCTGCATTTGGACTCTGTGCGCTGCTCCCTCTCCAGCTTCATCTGCTCAGGAGGCGTGTTGTCGATGTAGGCTTTGCCCTCAGCGAGCAGCTTTTCCCCAAATCCCATTATGGTGGTAAAATGGTCGCTGGTGTAGGTGAACTGGTCTGGATGGATCTGGAGCATGGCGACATCTTCCAGGATCACCTGAGATGCAATAAAGATAAGTAGAAATAAGAACACAAAACACATTTGTGGCAAGTTTATTTTTTTGTGACAGTACTATTTCCTTACAGGTGGTATGGAAATAACTATTTCACATCTTACCTTCTCAAAGTCCTCCTTTTCCTTCTCAGGGTTGGTGTCGTCGAAGCGCATGATGAGTTTGCCTTTGAATGTGACCTGGTAGTGCTGGTTGAGCAGAGCAGCCTTGGCATGGCCGATGTGCAGGTATCTGACCACAGAGAGAGATAGAAAATTGGTCTCCGTTAAGAAAGGTACTAAACGACCATGTGTAACATGAACCTCTCCTAAACTCCAGATCAAATCGTACCCGCTGGCCTCAGGAGGGAAGCGAACCACCACCTTGCCCATCTCAGCTCCGGGCAAATCCACAAACTTGCCAACATCTTGCTTCTTGTCATCCGACTGCCAATCAGGGACACAAACAGTCAAAGTGAGTTCCACTGAGGTCAAACAAAGATTCGGTTTGAGTTAACTGATCACAAACGTAATAAAAATACCAAAGAATCTGTGAGGATGATAAATACATAGACAAGAGCTTGTGTTGTTTTGTTAACAAAAATATTCACACTAAGACACTATAAATTAGTTTTTTCTCCAGTTAAGTGAGCACAAACACTCCAGATCAGTTCTACATGGCTGAACATTAAATCACGAATCGCTTAACAATGACTGAAATAACACTTACATTGGATTTGCTCAATGGAGCTTTCTTACTGGCATACTTGTTTCCCACAGCAGTGAAGGGAACCTGCGAGCTCAGGAAAGAGAACCAGCGGTTGACGTGGGTGAAGGACTTGCCCTGGCTCGGCCATTCCCCATGACCTGCAGATAAGCAACCACAACCTGTAGTGCTCCATTTCACCGTTTAAGCGAGACAAAGTCCACGTTAAAATAGACAGACAGAAAACGTGGCAAAGATCCAAACTGGTACATCCTGTATGGTACTACTGACCTTTGAGAGCAGCCCAGACGGACAGGTCAGCCAGGGTGAGGGTATGTCCAACCAGGAAGGTCCGCAAGGAAAGGGCCTCATCCAATCCACCCAGTGCTTCGCTCAAATCAGTCGGACCACACAGACGCCGAGCACTGAACTCCAACCAGTGGTCGACCTGCAGGTACCAGACAGCATCTCAAATGAGCGGGTAAAAATCACCGAACAGAACAGGACATCACTTCACATGCACGAACACACACCTCAGTCTGCTCCATGATGTTGGCTCCGTAGAGGCCAAGAGCTGGAGCCACCCGGGCCAAGTACCGACTGATAGAGTTGGCATCATTGAACTGGATCGCACTGAGGGAGGTGAAGGGCGCACGGAGTAGAAATAAATGAGAAATAATAGAAACCCCAAAATTGCACAACTTTTTCTACAGCACGCCGTTGGAGCTCATAGAGCAATTTGACGAAACAATGATGTCACCTACTCTGAGACGTGAAGCTGGGTGTCTTTGCCTTCCTCTACGGATACCTGCACACTGCCCTTCACGTGCTCTGCTGTCAGCAGCGCTCCTGAAAGGACAGAGGAGAAAATCCTGGGTGAAGAGATTGCCGTGAGTCTCTGTAAACATGGCTGAACAGCCTCAACTCAACTTTGTTTCGAGAATCTAGAGCAATTAAGTCAATCTTCACAAACATTTTTGGTTTGAGAACCGGTTGAACTGGTCCTGTGATGCAAAGCATGCTCACTCCGGTGTTTCACGTTACTCTGTTAGATGCGATCTTTGTAGCGGTACTGCCTGCCTTATGCAGTGGTTTTATAACGTGTCAGTACTCGAGCGGCTTCGCATAACAACCCTTGTGATGCCATGGACTTGAGATCAATGCATATACGTAGTATGGCACATCAGCTCGAAGCTCAACCGAAGGATCCTCGGAAGATACATAGACAATTCTCTGGGATAAGAATAAAAAAGTGAGGCATCCCTTAAGATTTTAACAGGTTAGAGAAAAAACAAACATTTGAATACAAAATAGACTAATTATGTAGTTTAGCATGCATTAATATATCGCCTTCTGACCATTTAAAGCGCTTTACACTACATGCCAACATTTACCCTAGTCATACACTGATAGCAGAGGCTGCCATACAAGGTGCTCATTCACACAACTAAAGTTTAATCACTATGGCCTGGAGGAGTCGTGGACCCTCTCTACCTGCTGAACCACAGCCGCTCTATGCTCTCAGCATTCTTGTCTTTGTGTCATACCCTTACGGTACATCTTAACAGTCTACCATACATGTCTGGTGGAAGAGCTGCAGAGATGGTTTTACTTTTTAGGTTCAACTTTAAAGAGGAAGACTGAGTTTTGTGGGCACCACCTCAACCACTGACCAACGATTGCCCGGCATTACACTTCCCAGGAGTGCTGGTGCAAAGCAAATGAAATAGCAATCAGCTATTATGCAAAAATGATGCACTCCACCTCCAAAGCTCAACGTTTCAATATGCTTGCATCAGTCTGCTGTTTTAACTGGAAACGCACAGGGCGCTGTTTAGCAGCTGTCACTTTGACACTAACCAGTGGAAGGCTTTGTTGAACACATGGAACAATCACATACTGGTAAAATATGTCATGTTATTGATACATTTTAGCAACATGTAACTGTATATACGTCTAATCCAAACCCACCCAGCTGGGCTAACCTGCGTTAGCTACGGACACTGTGCCAACTGATACACAATGTGTGTGTACTATTTGTGCATGTGTTATTTCCGAGTTCATAAAGACTTTTTGTGTCCGTCATTACGTTTAGTTCATAGGCATCCCACGGCGAAAGCTGTAAAGGGTAATGTAGCTCATTAAAACGACCTGTCCACATGTGGTGCTGAGTGCCACGACGTCAACTTGGCTAACGTTAGCTTCACAGAGCCGGTGCTGCCTTCTCTCATGAGCTAACGCTAGCTGGTTAGCTAACGTCATACACGCACCACTGGAACTTATATGGACATGCAGACATACTAATTTGAATTCAGATAACGTTAGGCCTATAGTCCACGTCACAGGCGTTACTTCTTTCTTTGAAATAAACAACATGGCTGCTTCGTAGTCCATTCTCGATTTGCAAACATTCGGCCCGTTATTATTACAAAATTGGCACAATTACAAACAAGTGGTAAACTTTTAATATTGTCTTTTATAATGTACAGTCGTCTTCATGTCTTCCGTCTCAACCAAATCGTAATGACTGGTCCAGTATCTTTAATTTTCTTGGACTCGTGTATTTATATAGTTATGATACGCGGATAAACATTAAGGGATGGTTTTAAAATAGAATTTATCTCATTTGATAGGGTGACACGTAGAAGGGCTTGCTAACAGCTAGCTAGCCAACTGTCAGTAAGTGCACGCACGAGACTCATTGAAGAAGTACTTATTCAGGGTTCGCACGCTGCAACTCACCTAGAGGCGGATTGCTTGTGTTGATGGTGAGGTTTAACGCCATACTGTGAAATCCTCCTTCCACAAAGGTTCACTGTTTAAGAAACCGAACAGCACACCAAGCAGCACAATGTGAAACAGAAACGGAGGCCTACCGATTTTGATGTTATGACTGCTAACCAACAACTCATTGGTGCAATACTGCCACCGACTGTTCAGGAGTATGAACAGACAGACACAAAATACAAGCGGAACTGGAGAAAGGAGGTGTTGTGCTCTGCATATTCCCTAAACTGTTTTTGTTGTTTTTGTATTGAGCAGCATTCAGTGGGTGAAGTGCATTAGAGTTTTGTGTTGCCAGTTAGCACGTTATTGTACTGTCTTACAATATGATGATTTAATGGTTTATAAGGCTCAGAAGGTGTTTTATCATGTGCTGCAGAATATCACATAGTAGACTTTATGATAGAAAGCAAATGCAGAAGGGCCTTGACTCCTCACAGCAGTGTGTGGTTCAAGAATGAATGACTAGTGTTTTATTTTATTATGACAAAATCATTTGATTTAAACAATGACAAATATACCTAAAATATATTTCACATGTAAGATATACAATTTTTTTTAAATAATCAGGGTTATGTTTCTGAATTCAGAAGTTCTTTTACATTGTATCTATATATTTTAACTTGGTAAATTGAAATGAGCTCCATATACTGTTCATACACATCCTCTTAACTGAATGTTATATTGCATTTGTGCTGCTTGTCTCTCTTTCAGAAGTTAGTCACTTTCACAAATGGACACTCGCTTCACTAGTGAGTCCAACGAATGAGACCGTCCATTTTCTCAGAGGAAGAGAGACATCGCTACCAAGCGGAGGTCAGGCACTGTAAATGACCTTACATGTGCACTGTTCATAATGAAAATAACATTTTAGTATATAGCATGATGCCTCTGTCAGCATGCTTCACACTGTATCTGTTTTGCAGAAAATTACAATGAGACAGTTTATGCTCATGAAGCAACAGCACCAAGTTCCTGCACATTTACCATCGAGGACATGAAGACCTGGCTGCTGTCAGGAAGAAGCTTCCGGGAAGAAGGCGTTAAGCTGCTCATTGATGTTACACTAAAGCTTTCTTATCCACAGGTTAGAACATGTTCTAACCTGTGGATAAAATAATCTGTTATTCATCTGCAGATGAATAACAGATTATTTTATTTTTATTTGAAAGGTTAAATGATAAAGGTGATGAAATAACAGAGATGACAGAGGCAAGAAAGCCTCTCGTGGCTGAATCGGTGAGTACAACATAGCTCCTGCACGTGACACTTTATAGCATACAATACAACAATATACTACTAGCTGCATTACCTTCCTGGTGAGAATAACTAAAGAGGGACGTGCACAGGCCTGGATCACAGCGAGGCACTTCTGTCTCAGTCACATGGAGCAAGAGCTCTTGGACGAACTGGACGAAGAAAAGCGCCTCATTACATACAGTCACTCACTTCTTCTTCTTCTTCATCTTCTCCTCTCTCTCTCTGTCTCTAAAGGTCACATTGGAGGGCATTCAAATGTTTGTCTCAGTCATCCGCTCAGGAGCAGAGGTGGATGTGGAAACCCTTCTTCGATCCCTCATCAGCAAGCTGCTGGAAACTTTAGCCGGCCTTCAGATCACCAGCAGTGCATTCGCTCTGCGGAGGACGAAAGAAGCTGGATTATTTTCATTATGGATCAATTGCTGATTATTTCCCCATTAGTCAGTTGATTTGTTTGCCTTGTAAAAAATCTTAAAACAGTGAAAAATGCCATCACGAGTTCTCAGAGCCCAAAGTGACACCTTCATACCATTCCAAATGATTCAGGATAAATGAAAATGATTAAACTCATTAAAAAGGAAAAGCAACAAATCCTCACATTTTTGAACACATCATGTGTTACACAGCAAGTTATAATAAATTAGAATGCTTTTTTGCCAATCTCCATATTAACTGTTTGTTTAAACAGTGGTTGGTGGTCCTCACTCACCAAGGAGTGGGCCAGTTAATTTGAGTCACAATGTAATTTACAGAAATAACTGACTAACTAACTTAATAAACATCAAACAAAAATGATTAATAAATTTACAAAAACAACAAAAATAATCAACGACTAAATGTTGAACAAACCAACTGATTTATATTTGTGTAATAGCCCTTATTTGATAAAGCTATCAGCTAGTCGCTGGTTTGTATTTACGTCCCGCCGTTGAGGCGGAACTACAAAACAAAGCAGGAAAAAGGAGTTCCGACCCGGACACGTGTTCCCTGTGCACCTCGTGCACTGTGGTTTGTTAATGGGAATGTATTGTATTAAGTCCGTTCAGCGGTGGAGTGATAAGTCACAACGTGATTCGCCTGTGCTGCTGCTCACTTATCTGACTTGGTAAAGCAAGTATCACGCGCGGCCTTTATGTTACGTCATTTACGCTCTTCATAACAATAACACTGTGATATCATCTTATCGCTTGCAAATGGAAGAACTTGCATGATCTGTTCTATTTGTGTGTGTATATATATATATATAGTTTTATTTGTGTTTACTGTGTTAATCATTAGTCTAAACTTTTTTTTTAGCGCTGTATTTTTGCGTATATTTCATATTTTGCCCGTTTTTGAACGATTTCGTCGAATGCTTTGATGTTATTGTGCACATACGCATGTAGTTAATATTACACACTTTACAATGTAGACCCAGGAGTTAGTCCCATGTTTTTGACTTTGCACTTTGCATTCATTCAAAATAGCCAAATGCTGACATACTGTCACTTGGGTTTTTCCAGCTGCAAACATCATTTAAAATGAAACCCGTCTTTATTGGGATCTTTTTTTTAATAAACAGTAATTGTCACAGATCACCACCAATTTAAGCTACATCAAGTCATGCTTGGTCTTTTAATTGCTGGAGGTCTCCCAGTCCCATCAGTTCAGACTGGTGCCATCCGGTCTGAATGACCAGTGGCTTTTACTTCAGGCTTGCTCTCATCCTGATGCTCAGCTGATGCTTTGAACTCTCTGTATCTCTGGCCAGGCATGTCTCAGGACAGTCAACATGGCAGGTGGACCATCTCCAGCAGTGACGACGATGACGAGGCTATTCCTCTCTCTGGGACCACAACGTCCGGGCCCCACCGACCCGCTCTATCCAGTCACGGCTCCCATCCGTCTGCTTCACCCCCTAGCCCCAAAGTGGAACCAGTAACAGCCGCTGTGGAGGTGAAACCAGAACCAGTTAACGCCCCTGTATCCTCACTTGTCGTCGGCTCTGAGGCCAGACAGTCGGCAGCAACGAACCAGTTGAATCCAGTGAAGTGTGAAACCAGTCCGTCGTTGGCTGGAAAGCGGAAGAAAGAGGCGTCGGACGGCTCAAGCTGGGCTCTCTCAGATAGCGATGATGACGATGGAGATGTGAAGGGGAAGGGCCTCGTTAAGAGGGGCCCTCCGAGCCCCAAAACGAAGAAACTGAAGGAAGAGACCGAGCGCCCTCCGAGTCCCCACGGTCGCCTCTACTACATCGACGAGCCAGAGGACTTCTTTGAGTCCAGTGTTCCTTGTTTGAACGACACCTACAGGTTTTACCTCAACAAGGTCACAGGGCTGGACAGGAAGTACAACAGTGGGGCTCTGCACATCAGAGGTGAGAAGAGCTTCATGTAAATAACATCTGGTGCCGACAGTTCAGTTCGAGTAACAGTGAAATCATGCTTTTGATCAGTGTTGCAAGTTTATATTCCAGACCAGCAGGATGTCTGGCATCACTCATTCTTTTCAACTCCAAATCTCCTTCATTGATCCAGTAGAGTTGCTCAGTGTGCTGGGAAGCTCCCAGTCTGAAAAGCTGAGCATGCTCTCTGGGTGAATGGAGGCTGAATATCTTCACCTTACTTGTTTTTTGGCTCTGCTTGTGTGTTAAAACTTTTTTGTTGTGTCACTTTATGAAATGGCAGCAGGGCGATCTCATAGGTGGAGAAACCCTCTGGTGAGATGAAGGTGCTAGTTTCTTTTCACTGTTTGAAATCAGAGTACAGCTACCACCTCTCGTCATCCGTCTTTTATACATTACATTCTATTCTAGTAACCTGTACTTTTTCTTTCATCTAGACATTCTCTCGCCATTATTTGGGACCCTGAAAGAGTCTGCTCAGGTGAGTTAAGTTATGTCCTGTGGGTTTGTTTTTTTTAAAGCCATGGCAATGTGGGTCTGTTGATCGGTCTACTACTTCAGTCCAGACTAAAATATCTCAACAACAATGGGATGTATTGCTGTGAACTATTGTACAAAACTCCTGGTCTCCAGAGGATAAGTCCTACTAACTTCGGACAACATGTAAATTTTCATCTGGTCAAAAATACTAAACTAATCACAGTCACATCAGCCTCAGCTGGACTTTATGTTTAGTGCTAATTAGCTAACGTTAGCATGCTAATATGCTCAACTGCGGCGGGAAACATGGTAAGCTTTTTACCTGCTAAACATCAGCATGTTTGCATGGTGAGCATGTTAGCGTGCTGATGTTAGCATTTAGCGCAAGCAAATTCTCACAGCTAGCTGCTAGCAAGGCTGAAGACCAGCGATTGTCAACCTTTTCGAGTCCCCAGTTTAGTTAGACCCCCCCCCCCCAGTTTAGTTTAGTTTGAACAGCTAGCACATAGACGTTGTCCAATGTGCTCCAGGTGCTGTGGATTTTTTATGTCTTCTGTGACTTTTTCTGTCCCCCTGACCTGCTGACCCTTCTTGTGGGTCCCGACCCCCAGGTTGAGAACCACCGCTGTAGACTCTTGTATGCATCTTCTTATCAGTGTTGGAGAGAAATTCGTCCATTAACACAAATGCACTCTCTTTCTTCGTAGTTTAACTACTGCTTTGATTTAGCCTGGATGGTTAAGCAGTACCCACCAGAGTTTAGGTAAGCTTTGCTTCTGCAGTCGGCCATGAATTAGTTTGGACTTTTCTTTAACAGCGAGTCACAGTTAAAAGGAGATTGGTGTTGTGTCTATAGGGATCGTCCAGTTCTGATCGTCCACGGAGATAAGAGGGAGGCCAAGGCCCGGCTGCTCAAGCAGGCTCAGCCTTTTCCACACATTCGCTTCTGCCAGGTACAGACTCACCACCACAGGACACAGTTGTTCAACATCAGCTTCTCTGAAGCGCAGTTAGGCTGATATTACATACACTGAGCTGTAACGTAGGATAATCGCGCTGAGATATTCCTGTTAATAAGGTCCCGGATTTTCCCTTTAAATTGGACTGATGTGTGTGTGACTCTCCCTGACAGGCCAAGCTGGATATTGCTTTTGGAACTCACCACACGTAAGCTTTTCTCTTCCTGCCTGGTATCATACCTGCTCTTTTTTTCACATCAGTTTCAGATTTTGTTTGCAGCTCTATGTAAGGCTCGGTCGGTCGGTCTACCATTTTGGTCCACACTATAGAAGTGGACGTAGTCACAGTCGCGTAATCGAAATAGGTCTGTCATTATTGCACTGTTAGCAACCTATATAAACGTGTAACTTGTATGGAGTATTTCTAAATTCCCCCCCTACGTTCTGGATGAAATGATTAAACATGAATGTGTGCTGAAAATGCAGATACAGTCAGTGGAATTGCAGAAGGTGACTTTATAACAGTTAGTGACGTGCATTGCATATTTAACAGGTCTCTTAGTTGTTGCCTTATAAAGCAGACAATTGTGTGTCATTGTGCAGGAAGATGATGTTGCTGTGGTATGAGGAAGGCTTCAGAGTCATCATTCTGACCTCCAACCTCATCAGAGCCGACTGGTACCAGAAAACACAAGGGTGAGTCTGTCTTGTTGTACACATCAGTCCCAGCAGCAACGTGAACTTGAGAACGTCAGTAGTCTCATATTGTTTCCAGTCGCCCCTGAATATATCATTTCCAAACCAGGATGTGGATGAGCCCCGTGTTTCCACGGTTACCGGAGGGCAGCGATGACAGCGCAGGCGAGTCATCGACCTTCTTCAAGAGGGACCTGCTGGAATACCTGGCGTCGTACCGCGCACCAGAACTCGAGGAGTGGATCCGGCGAATCAAAGAGCACAACCTGTCAGAGGCCAGGTAAACACGAGACGCGTGCGGTCGCTCGCATGCGTACGCATATGATGCACACGTTATTGTTGAGCGTCTTCTGTGATGGGAGTAGCCATATAACAATAACTCAACCAGGTATATAGATATAGACATTGATCTGCTGCTAAATGATGGCCCTGCTACATTCAGTGTAGATGTGAGCGAATACAAAATCTGGATTAACTCATAATCCTCTACGCATATCTTCTATTACTAGGGTTTATTTGGTCGGCTCAACCCCTGGGAGATATGTTGGCTCAGACATGGAGCGCTGGGGCCACCTGAGGCTGAGGAAGGTAAAAATTTCTCCTCTTTAATCAGATGACAACACCCTGATTACCAGGCGGAATTGGAAAAATATCTAAATGTTGCTGGTGGAACCTCAGAAGACACTGACAACAGCACTTTAAAATGTGATGAAATGTAAGAATTTCAACGTGGTCTCTAATTGGGATTTCTTCTTCTTGTTGTATTAGCTGTTGTATGACCACGCAGATCCTGTTCCCGGGGAGGAGAGGTGGCCTGTGATTGGCCAGTTCTCCAGCATCGGCTCTATGGGAGTGGATAAGACCAAATGGTTGACGGGGGAATTTCAGCGCACCATGACCACGCTGGGGAAATCCTCTCTTCGCCCAGAACCCCCCATGCACTTGGTACGTTCCCGTAGAACCCACTCGACCCTTGCTTTTGTGATGCGGCGTTCAAATCCACAGGACGAAATGATTCGATGCAAATTAGGTTTTCTGCGAGTTCTGCAGCTGCTGCTGTGTTCTCTAATAGAGAATAGCATTTGCCTCAGCTTTAAAGTGGTAGATGATTTTTACACTTCCTCCCTCCAGGACAGTTGATCGCCTAAAACCGATTTGTAAAGTGTTCCAGACACAATAATGCTTGATTTGAAAAGTTAACCCTTACCTGCCCTGTTGGCATGAGTAACCGATCTCTTGCTTGTAATGTATTGTGTGTCTAAGACAAAAATAAATTAAAGTAAAACTACATAACTATTGAAAGAATAAACAATACTGTCTTTCTCTTGCATATAAAAAGTTAAAAACATAAGCAATACAACTTGTAAATCCTGCAATGTTTGGCCACAGTTCAGCAAGAGTTGCACAGCCTCACTAGCTCAAAATTATAACAAGCCGCTTATTGGTTCATCTTTTTTCACAGGTGTATCCATCAGTTGAAGATGTGAGGACTAGTTTAGAAGGCTATCCAGGTAAGTTTTTAAATTAAATTTTAAATTGAATTTGTTAACGTCATGTGTGGAAGAGGTCACAACCTTTACTAAATGCAGGTAAAATTCACAGCATGATCACATTTGCAGTCTTTTTGCTTTCTATTTGTTAATTGAATCATTCACTTTGAACATCTAATTGCTCGATGGATCTAGCATTGGATCATTTGGTGACTGTTACGTGTCTTTTGTCCTCCAGCGGGCGGCTCTCTTCCCTACAGCTTCCAGACGGCTCAGAAACAACTCTGGCTCCACTCCTTCTTCCAGTAAGCAGACTTCTGTTTAAACCGGTTAGCTAGTCAGGATATCTTTTTAAAAAAAAAAATAATACCCATATTGCACCCAAGTAGCTGGTCACACCATACAAGTTTACACACACCTAAATTGTATTTGAACTTTGGTCAGAAATGATGGGGCAGGGCTACGTACAGGATGATTTAAGCTGAGTTGACACAGCCATATTCACATTTATACATTCCATCAAGTTCAATTCCACAGATTGTGTGTGTGTGTGTGTGTGTGTGTGTGTGTGTGTGTGTGTGTGTGTGTGTGTGTGTGTGTGTGTGTGTGTGTGTGTGTGTGTGTGTGTAGCCGTTGGAAGGCAACTGCAACAGGAAGGAGTCATGCCATGCCACACATCAAGACCTACATGAGGGCGTCACCAGATTTCACTCAGCTTGCCTGGTTCCTCGTCACAAGGTGTGTGTGTGTGCTCTAGCTTTGTATTTGCAGATTTTTTTGAAATGTGTTTGTTATGCATGTGTCTTTGTGTGTACATGTGATTTTCTGATTGGTTCTCCTATATCTCACATGTTACTTACTGCTGAAACTGTTGTGGTAACCCGCTAAATAAATGGTACCATTAACGTTTATCCTAGAGTTTCACCTTCAAATTCATTATGAAGTACTTTCACTAGATTCTCAAAAATCCATTGTCTTTAATAGTTTTTTATTTTCTATATAAAAACAAACTTATTTTCTTATTGTTAATCAACACAAAGACAACTTTTCTGATTTAATTTCCCCCTAGCATACTGTGTGTTGTATACAAAACATAACTTTTTTTTTTGCGCAGCACTGCGTTCAAATCCTATCCTACTGAAAATGAATTGAGATGATCATATTCCGATTATTAATATGCTGCATCTTAACATTCTGTGTTTTTAAACGTGTGTGTTTCAGTGCCAACCTGTCCAAAGCAGCCTGGGGTGCGCTGGAGAAGAGCAAGACTCAGGTGATGGTTCGTTCATACGAGCTGGGAGTCCTCTACGTGCCCTCTGCCTTCGTAAGAACAACACACGGACAAACAGCGGCAGTATGACGCGTGCTGAGTAACAGTGAAACCTTTACAGAGCCGGCGTACAGTAACGTGTGGTTATCTCCTTTCAGAACATGAAGACCTTCCCCGTTCACAAAAGTCAGTTTCCTGTCTCCTCCTCTGCTGGTTTCCCTGTGCCCTTTGACCTCCCCCCCACATGCTACTCTCCTAAAGGTACACAACAGAAGTGTGTGTGTGTGTGTGTTTATGCACAGACTGGATTCTTCAGTGAGTCTGTTGGTTAAAATACCACATGGTCTTTGCTTTTTACTACTACTTTTTCGACTGAAAAGAAAAAAATGTAATGTCAGATTTCAGCTTTATACTGAACTCTGTGGTCTTTAAGCTTTACCTTGAAGTGCAGTCACAGTGACATCTAGTGGCATTTAGGTGAAATAGTTTATACTAAAACCATAGCTGTAAAGAGGTTGAAGAGGAAACAGTATTTCTTCCACGAAACACAGGTTCAAATTAGTCTCAACAGCTAACCTGTCAACCGAGCTGTGTTTTGTGTTGTGCGACTCTCCCTCTGCTGTGTTCAACAAATTAATTGCAGACGTCAAACAAAATCCATTCCCCAAATTGTCCTCATCAGAAAGTGCTGTTGGGGAATCGACATATCGGAGGACAACTCTGCCGAATTGGCACTATATCATGTGTTTTGTTCAGCGTGAATCGTAATAATTCCACCAATGAGGGTTGAATGGATTGGCAGTTTTCTTGCAGAATTAGTTGAATTCAAAGCATATCGTATAATATAAATTATTTCTGAAGCCAGAGCCGTTGATGATCTTGGAGTGGAGCATGCTCTTCCACTGAAACAGTCAATGAAGACGGCATAAATGCTGCCATTGCCATTTTTCGAATATATGACACAATGTATTCTCTATATTTTAATGTCACTGACCTCTTGTCTTTGTTTTCAGATCAGCCTTGGATCTGGAACATTCCGTACAGCCAGCCTCCCGACACACACGGCAACATCTGGGTTCCCTCCTGAACACACACACACATATATAGACACATCTCTGTTACTTTACAACTGCTTTGTTTGTAATTGTCAGTACTGTAGCTACAGTAGGTGTTAGTTGTCATTAACATTTATTTTTATATTTTATACCTGACTGTAGACTCATGTTTTCTACCAATAAATAAAATACTGTTTTCATTGTCCAGGTGTGGTGTAAGGATTTGAATGTGAATGCACACGTCTCATTAGTTTGAGTTAAACATATTGATTTCATTAGATTAGGCGCTCACTAAGATTAATGTTCAGTTGTTTTTTCTACACGAGGCCCGTCCAACCAAACATCATAACGTGGACAGGAAGCCGTCGTTATCACTCAGGGATTCATTCATTTTGTTTGTATTCTTTAGACGCACTGTAGGTCGTCAAATTATGAGCAGTGAGAGAACAAATTGATCCTTTTAGAGGTCAGGTGGGCTCATATTTTGGCAACTCCTAACACTGAGTCAGCAAAGTGTTTGTGAAACTTGCAGAGAGTTAACAGTTTGTAACATGTTTCCTTTCATACAGCAGTGGTGGTCAGCACTGCAGGTCTTCTCACCTACCAGGTGGATAATTATATTCTATGGTCTCCCAGGTGTTAATTTGTCACCGATTCAGCAGCTAGAATGCGAACCAGCAGGGCTCTCTGTGTAATGAGCTCAAGTGTCATTGATCTAGCGAAGGGTCACACACAGTTCCCTGTGTTCCTGACACACCACAGGCATTCTGGGTAAAGGAGTTCTAAGACCCTGTTATCACCTTCAGAAGACTCACAAGTAGGATAACTGCACCTGTGCTTTTTGTTCCGAGTGCTGAAATTAGAGAGACTGCGTTATGTAACTAAACTGTAATACTGTGACCACCTGTCTGGTTCCATGTTTTGCAGCTCTGAGGGTACAGCACAAGGCACTGGGGAGAGCTTTTATTCACAATTAAAAAAAGATTTGGATAATATATTTTTTTAAATACTGTTTAAGTAAATCTAAATGTGTACGCTGAAATACATGGGAAACATGGATGAGGAAAAGTGATTTTGAAAAAACGAACAAGTTGGTTGCTGCATATTATAACAGCTCAGTCATACGTAGGCTACATAAACATAATAAAGTCATATTTAACATGTTAGAAACAGCCTACAGTGCCACCTCCCCGTTGTCAATCTGCTGATATATTGAATTTCAGCGTTGGCCATGTGTACCTAATAAACTGGCACCGCGTACAGTAAGTTCTGTAAACTGCGACTCCCGTCGTTCCTTGCGTCATTGTGTCAACATGGCGCCTGTCTGCCGGACAAAAGGCGAATCTGTCTGACGGAGGATTGAAACCCAATTAGAGACAGAGGAGACATTTTGGGAAAACTGTCAGTGTCCGTGTGTCCCGGCGCCCCAAGGCAACAGATATATGGTCAAACACACGTCTGCGGAGGCTCGTAGACCGGAATATTAAGGTAAGTTAAGTCCTGCAGCTCCAACTACTGCTGCCGTCAAACGATCCCGCTGGCCCGATACATTTCCTTTTCTCCGTGCGGTGATAACTGAAAACTCCTCAAAAAATAGGGCTGTGCTGCGGCGTTTCACTCGGCGGTTGCCGTCAACACCACCTCAACTGTTACACACGGTCTTATCCGGACCATAAACAGTCGGCGTGTAATTCGGCTTGCACATAGTCCACTAACAAACAGTTGATCAAACACAATGTCAACTTTTCCAGTTGGTCTACACCGCTCGCTACCGCGCTGCACGTTGTATTTTAGTGGCGACAATCACGGCGAACGAGCGACAAAATGTACAATTCCGGTGTGCGTGGAGTGGATTAGTTAATGTTAAATACGCCGGATTGAGGGGTTGTCCTTCACTATCCATAGAAACGTCTTAAGACACCCTCTGTCGGGCATGCTGATTTCCCCAGAAGCGGGGGGAAATTAAAATCCATATTTTCCCAATGTGATTTGGCGTGAAAGTGGAGCACTCCGCACCGGGGCTACCTCGACATTTGCGATCGCTACGGTGTAGTGTCTGCGGTCACACGAGCCAGCTGTTCCGTTTCTGGTTACATTTCAAGGCCAGTTAAAAAAAAAAAGAAAGAAAGTTACCGACTGTAATTAAATGACTTGTATATGTGCTCAGCTGGCGCGTGCATACAACCAGGGGTACAGTTCAAAGGTATGCCACGTCTGGTTAGGATCATGGGTCACGGGGTTCAGGAAGAGAGAGGTGGTTTCTCTTTAACATGTTTCGGACAAAAGCGAGGGCCTAGTCTTATAAGTTTGTTTTGGGAGGTGTGATGATAGAACGCTTCAGCCTAGAGAGACAATCACCACAGTGCATAGATGGATCACAATGTAATCCTCTGGGGGGGGGGGGGGGGGGGGGGGGGGGGGGGGGGGAATCGTGTTTGAGAAGCTCTCTGCTCCACGGGGAGGTCAGAGGTCAGGATAAGTTTAGCTACAGAGCAGCACCTGGAGCTGGTAGGTGTTCAGTGTCTTTGCTCAATGACATCCTCAGGATTTGAGTCAACACGGTTAAAATATTACCCAGGTTTACTACATCCTCTATCCCTACATTCTTACATATCATAGTTTCCTCTTTAATACAAACTACAAGACACAATCTGGAGTTCTTTGATAAGATACCCTTTTCCTTACTGTGCCAATGTTATCTTACCAAAGGGAGTGTGGCTGCTGGAAAGGCTCTGTTAATGTACTGAAACTCTAGTGAGCACCAAGCTGTCCGAGTCCTCTGGGTCTTCTTTCTATATAGTGTGGGGAATAAAAAGCGTCGACTCAAAACCCATCCGACAGCCAAATAAATAATTCCAACAACTTTCCTTACAACGGTAGTGCTGTCGTGATAGGAATACACTTGCCTCGACTTAATTGATAGGAGCACAGTAGTAGGAGCAGTCAGCAGGTTCCATTCATGCAGAGCGGTTTATTTTCAAAGCTTCTAATTAGTCTTTCTTTGCCTGTGTGTGTGTGTGTGTGTGTGTGTGTGTGTGTGTGTGTGTGGTTTCAGCTCTGGTAAGAGAGAGAACAATAAAACAGAATGTCACCAGATATTGTACGACCAGGTAAATCAAAGCGTTGAAGGATGAAATTCACTCACAGGACGGACACACACACACACACACACACACACCTCATGTCTGAGGTCAGGAAAGGAGGAACAAAGGGGATGAAGGCAGCTTATACGGCCTCTCATTTAGTGGAAGTGATCGCACCGGAGGAGGTCCTTTCCAGGCAGGAGTTTGTTTTGGCCCCGCTGCCTCAAGTGGGGTCATGTGATCACAAGTAAAAAAAAAAAGAAATCTGCCCACTATGAGACAGACAATTGCACTATTTCTGATTAGAAGTGTGTATGTCAGGGCAGGTCAGCACCTTCTTGCTCTGCACCGAACTTGAAGTAGCTGCAGCTTCAGAGGCTGCCACTGGTCTTATGTGGAACAGTCAGTGGATCCATCTGGTTTACTTTGGATCATTCCAAATTAGACAGCATCTGGCCAACTTTCAGTGTTTGTTATTGTTGTCTTGTTGTAGTTCCCGCAATTCACAAGTGCACGTCAAGCGACTAAACACGGAACCGGGTCATTATAAAAGAGGGAAGGTTCTGGCCAAACGCAGACAGTGGCAAGAATGACCCGGGAACTGTGAGGCTAACGAAGGCGGGGTTAATTCAAAGTTATTTGTTTGGGCATGGCTGGAGTGAATGAATAGAAACCCATAATGGTATTCATCACCCATCAATTAAGTTTCCTTTGCATGCTCAGAGAAATGTTGCGTAAACCACAGATACTTTGGTTTGAAAGCGTATCACGAGGAACAAGTCCAGATGCCGTACAGAGTGTCATCGTATCAGTTTTGCGGCGACAGCCGTGCAGGAAGACGGTAAGTAACGCTCGATAAACACCACACTGAGATAAGTGTGTCGCTGTTAATTTGCAACAAAATATCCGTTAGTATGAAATGAAAACATAACAGTTGAGCCGAACCCTCTTCCCATAATTCAGCAGCCCTGTATGGAACCTATGTATCAGTCTTAACTTCATATAGCGTGACTCATCCTCTGCAGCAGTGGGAGAAAGTATGGAGCTTGGCTGCCTGCAATGTAAATTTTTTTGGCATTTTTCCCAAGACGCACACGCACACACACACACACACACACACACACAACCTCCTCTATATAAGTGTTGACATGTCTGCTCTGATGACTTTGATTCTCCGCTGTGGCCTGTTTTTCCTTCTCGGCATCAGAAAAAAAAAGCGTCAAGACCGATGCGTTATGTTCTCTCTCTCTCAGTTCAGTTCAGATTATTATTACGAGGATATTAAATCAGTGTGTTTTTTTAAAGCTACATTGTAGCGAGCATGTTTTTGGTTTGAATAAGTACCATACATTATAACAGCAGGGCCACGTTATACGATTATACGGCTTGGAAACTATGATAAAAGCCGTATTTAATCTGCAGGAATGCATTGTATATCTGGATAGCAGCTGCTGAGCTCTGATGTGTGTGTGTGCACGCTGTAAATCTGCTGGCAGGAAGCTAACAGATGTGACCGTTCTTCCATTTTGTTCTGTGATTGTCTCCTTGACGGGATGTGAAGCTCAGCTTGTAGAGAGGTCACCAATGAGCTGAAAATGTATTTGTGAATCAGGAGTAGAAAATGTGGATTTTCCTTATAACAAGCTCCATTTTTGACAATATTTATGGCCAGCGTTCTTTACGCAAGAGCCACTCAATGTGTGTCAATTTCCTCTCGACAGTACATCTTAACGTTTATTTAAATAGGAAGTCACATTGAGATTAAAAGCCTCTTTTGCATGCGAGACTTAAGCAAGACAGGACATAGAACATCAGATCACAGCAGTGATCAACAATAGATATGACAAAAAAACAAACTGCAGCTAGGTAGTGACTACTTCCTTTTATTCTAAGTTTAAATTCATTTGAAGGGATAAGGCTCTCCAGTTCATGCTTTGCCTGCAGATCGTTCCAGGACCGGGGCCCGTAGTGGAACCGGCTTGTTTTAGATCTTAGTGCAACCCAAGATCAGGACAGCGTGCCACAGTTCCAATTTAATGTGGTCCACAGGATCTTAAAGGAACAGCGTGTAACATTTCGGGGGATTTGTTGGCTATGTATAACTATGTTTTCATTAGTGTATAATGACCTGAAACTAAGAATCATTAGGGGTTTCGTTAGCTTAGAAAAAAGCCATTTATGTCAACACAGTCCTCTTCACGGAGTCCGCCATGTTGCACCGCCATGTTTCTACAGCAGCTCAGAATGAACACTGGCTCTAGTGAGCCTTTTATATTTTGACATTAACTAAAGTAAGGGATGGGCACCGAAACCCGGTATTAAACGGGCCTCTGTGCTAAATGATTAAAGACCGGAGTACTGATAAGCTCCGACGTTACCGTGGCTTTTTATTAGCACTTTCTAATGTTTTGGTGTAAGTTATTATCACTCTGCAGCGGGCATCTCCTCTGCTCTCTGTGTCGGGGCTGAGCTCCTCCAACCAACCACACACTAACACACACACACACACACACACACACACACACACACACACACACACAGACACAGACACAGACACACACACAGAAAAGTCAGTGCTATTAAACATTTGCAAGGAAAAAGCCAGTACTTTATCAATACGTCTGTTCAGTGAGCATGAGCATGTAAACAAAAGTGAAACCTATTTCCATCGGCTCTGTCCGCAGACTCTCACCCACCTATCTATGTTCACACAAGCGCAGCACATTAGCTTGTATAAAAGCATTTATAAACTATTTTATTGACATGTGAGATATGACTTTATATTGTCTTTTCTGTTGTAAAAAAATATTGTTGCTGCTCTAGAAACAATATTTACTTATACGTGTTCCTGTTCGAGTAGCTTGACATGCTTGTGAATGGAGGGTAGGGGTATTGAGTTTGCTGCAATCTGCAACCTCACCACTAGATGCCACTAAATCTTACACACTGTTCCTTTAAGAAAAAGGTCAAACAGAGGCTGCTAGGTAACGTTTCTTAATAAGTAGTCATTTTAATACACCAAAATCAATATTTCTTGTATAAAGGAAAAGAAGTCCAATATATTACTATTTATTTTCATTGGCATGCGTGTGAGATGTGGTCGTGTGTCTCCAAGTTGATGTGGCGAGGATGAACCGATGGAACAACAGAGACCCGTGATGTCCTGGACTTTGTTGTGTTATCTCTGACAATTCCTCATACGCCTTTTTTTTTTTTTCTTTTTTTTTTTTTTTTAACTGCTGTTTTTGGAAAACCGACTCTTTAAATATTTCTTTGCCATTTACGTTCTTGTCATTGTTTCGATCTCCTCCAGGATGTTCCAGCAGTGCGAGGAGCCTCGTTTCACCATCGAGCAGATCGACCTCCTCCAGAGGCTAAGGAGGACAGGCATCACACAGACGGAGGTCCTCCACGCCCTGGACACGCTGGACCACCTGGACCGCCAACATGGACACAAGCTGGCCCGCAAACCTCCCTACGTGCCTCCCTCCTCTTCCTTGTCTTCCTCCAGCGCCGTCGTCGCCTCCTCCTCCATGACTTCCACCGCCACGCAGACAAGTTTCCCGAACAACCGACTCTCGCTGTCGCCCAACAACAACTTCGACACCGCCTCCCCGCCTCTGCCGATCCCAGTGGCCTCGCCTGTCGCCATGGCGGCGGTGGTCCAGAACGGCCTGGTTGCCGTCACCAACGGGAAGCTGTCGCCGCCCCGGTTTCCTCTCGGCGTGGTTAGCGGCGGCGTGATGGCGGCGGGCTACGGGTTTGAGACCAGTGAAGAGGACATCGATGTCGACGACAAGGTGGAGGACTTGATGAGGTAAGACCACACCGGACTCAGCTTAGACTAGGTTGGACCAGAACTGGCTAGACCAGGAAGAAGCAGGCCAGACCAGCTGACGTCAGCTGATGAATGACAAGAAATCGAAGCACAAAGAATGCCCAGAATGTTTTGAAGCGGTACCACGCTTCACCAGAGAGTAACGACAAGTTTGTTTTTCTGCCCAGTAGATTTCTTCAGTGCATGAACTTGTTTGTACTAGTTGGCGGACTCCATGTCTCGTGCATTGGCAGTATTTCCTCAGAGTGCCAAGAAACCTAACCTTGTTGCTGACGGTATTAAAGAGAGGCGGACTGAAAGTTAGTAGCACCGACCAACTGCATTTAGAGCCGTTGGATTACAAGTAGTTTCTTGACAGCTTGCTACGACCACCACTTCCCTGATTATATAATTAGCATGAAAATTCAGCTTATTGTGATTTATTTTTGTAATCAAAAGTGTACATGTGGCTTTAGAGCCCACTGGAAGCATAATGAGTAGACCGCTGCAGCAGACGGCAGGGCCTGATGGTTGGCTTCTCTGCCTGTAGCTCACACTGAATCTGAAGGATTCAAGGATTAATTCCTGCACACACACACACACACACACACACACTCGACATACAGTACTGCGCGCGCACACACACACACACACACACACACACACACACACACACACACTCTCACAGTCACTAGTGCCCCTCATCTGTAGTCTACATTCAGACAGCAGCAATCAGAGCGGTATTGATTCAAGGGTGTGTGAAGATGAAATCAAAGCAGAAAGCAGCAAATATTACAGCAGCGTCTGGCCTCTGATTCATGCACATATTCAGCCTCAGCAGCTGCTGCTGCTATATATATATATATAGATAGATAGATATGGATTGCAGATTTACAGCTGGTTTTAAGTGCGCACTATATGTGTAATGTCAGACGGTACTTTGTGATAAAACAGTACCCCCCCCCCCCGCTGCTTGTAGGAGGGACAGTGCTATGATCAAAGAGGAGATTAAGTCCTTCCTGGCGAACAGGCGGATCTCCCAGGCCGTGGTCGCTCAGGTAACGGGTGAGTATCGACGTCCTCTGCACTTCACCCAGCTCCACTGAATTGCCACCAGAGAGAGTTGACATGCCGGCAGGCGTCCAGCCTCCTGACAATACAGATCTCGCTCCGCTCCTCTCCCCTCCCCCCTCCAGGGATCAGTCAGAGCCGGATCTCCCACTGGCTCCTGCAGCAGGGATCAGACCTCAGCGAGCAGAAGAAACGGGCCTTCTTTCGATGGTACCAGCTGGAGAAGACCAACCCTGGTAACGCCACCCTCCACTTAACAATAAATACTTTTTTATACTGTGTTTTTCAATAAGCAGCTGCCCTGAATGCCCGACTTGCAGTGCTGACTGTAATACCACGTAGAGTTTTCTTAACGCTGACTGAGCAAAAATCAATCCCTTCAGACTTGCGAGGACAATCCTTACTAGAACAGAGTGGGAAGAGCTCGTTATCTGTTCAAAACATGTTGCCGTCGCGCACATTGTCAAAGTCTCCCCGAGTAGGACCCCGGACACCCCCAGACTGACGGCACTGACACACCAGAGCACAGAAGTAAACTACCTCAGCTCATTGGTATTTGTAGCTGTGATTTCTACATGAATTAGGAGGTGAGTTCCTCAGTTTGGTAGCAGAGGACGGGCTTCCGGCGATCGGAGAGTTGCCATCAAAGAGTCTCTTCTGACAGAAAAGAAAGCCGTGGCATGTATGCGCGACTTTAATGGGCGCCTTGAGACGTCCCCGGTTACAGGAATGAGAGGCTGTTAACTGTTTTTCTGTGATTGAACAATGACTACGTTGTGTTGAGACCAACACAGTGGAATGTACGAAGAAAATCAGTGCAGTCTAGATATCCCTGCGTCGTCCTTCAAAAACTGGCACAGTGCCTTAATTAAGATCTCTTGACTTTAATTTGGTTCATTGGCTCGATGCTCTCAGATAAATGTCAGGGTTTGATGAATTATTTTGTCCTTGTGGTCTCATGATGAAGCGTACACACGCTAAAGGTACATAGCAATATTCAATAATAATTTAATTTGAGACGTTTTTAGGCGGAGTGACGCTGAACAGAAAACTGCTTGTGATTTATCAGCGCATCGCATGCGACGTGCTGAAAAAAGCCTGTCTTTGTGACTGCAGGAGCCACTCTGGCCATGCGAGCCGCCCCATTGGGCCTGGAGGACGTGATGGAGTGGCAGCAAGCCCCGCCTCCGTTTAGCTCGGCCCCCGGGGGCTTCCGTCTGCGGCGTGGGAGCAGGTTCACCTGGAGGAAGGAGTGCCTGGCAGTTATGGAGAGGTGAGGAGGAGGTATAACAAAGTATGGTGTTTAAACGGCTTCGGGATTATAACGTGTGTGTGTGTGTGTGTGTGTGTGTGTGTGTGTGTGTGTGTGTGTG